TTCTCTGGTCTATTTAAATTAAATTTGTGACTGGATTTTTTATTTAACATTGTTTTACCATCTTCAATACAGTAATTTACCTCAGACGGAGTAAAGTAGCTGACTATCTTCTCTACATTAACTATAGTTTTATTCTCACACAGCATCTTACAGTAGTTTTATCATTTCAAGCGCAACACATACTATACTTTCCAAGCGAAAATACAAATCCTCCAATCCGAAAAAGGAACTTTAGGCTGATTTTGTGTCCTCAAAGTTGGCTTGCAGTTTCCTGGAATGGTTTTCGTTCTCTTAAATCTGAAGACTTATTTAGGACATAAGCTGGTTTTGGGTCAACGTTTCCTCAAACAATGTATTTACGGAGCTGTAAGGCGATTACGCGACTCTGTCTTCTGTCGTACTTGGCGTGAATTTGACAAAAACGTTTTTGTTCAGAATCAGTTGACGATGATGAATATACCTTGTCTTATCACAACCTACCGTACTTTACTTTTATCTAACCCTACACTACCTTATATACAACCCTATTTTACCCTACGTTACTTTACTCTTCTGTTCTCTACTGTACCTTAACGTATCATATTTTACTGTAACCTACCCTGACTTTACTCTACCTTACTCTATCTTAACAGGCCCTATTTTATCTTATGCTACTGCATCTTGTTTTACTCTACGTTTAGGATGGTTCTTACAGTAGAATTTTGCACGTGTTACAGTACGACTCTTTTCAGGGAATTGTAAGCATGATTTTTACAAGATACTGTAAGTTATTTTGTCTTGCGGATGAGTAACGTCTTCATTTACAAGGCATGAGCTTGGAATTTGAAAAAGTACCATATTTCTTGTTAAGGGGGTAGGGCAAAACTTTTTTAAATTACAATAAAGTGCGGGAAGGGAGGCTTTAATTTTTTTATTTAGCTTTTGACAATTTTTAAAAAAGTTGTCCAATGAGTTTAAAGAGTCAGTCGTACCGACTGACAATTATAATTTGAGGTCGTTTTTAAATATTTTCATAAGGAAGCTGTCAGCTTTATGACAGTTTTTGTTTGTTTTTTCCGGTTTCAGCCGGAAGGCATAATTCGTTTTTATCACCTGGACGAAAGATCTCTGTAGAAGGGGTTCTGAATTCAGTTTTTACATTTCCTTCATTATATGTATCGACTAAAAAATTTTTTTAATCAGTACTTACTTTCCATCAAAAAAATTTTTTTAAATTTTATATTGACTGACATTAATATAGATAATACCGTACACAATAGTGAAAATAGTACTATAGTGAAACTTCCGTATAACGAACAACTTTCATAACTTAGAGCGATTATTTATACAGGAGTTTTGTACTTTATCATGCTCTTAGACTACGGTGTTGACAGTCCAAGACTTAAATAATAGCTTTGCACTTTGGTTTACTTTTCTTTTTATAAATTAGTTTTGGGACACACTTTATATTATTATAGCTAATAGAAAAACGTTTTGAACAGATTTTTGGAATTCCATAGGATTTTACGGCATTACTTTGGCTTTACAGATCATACTTACTGTAATATAATCTTTTTGAATACTGTAATATGAATTTTAAAAAATATTGTCTCATACTAAAATTAGATCTCTAAACTAATGTTTTGACTATTTATTCTTAATTTTTTGGAAATACTGTAGGCTATTTACTACACTCTTTATGGCAACATTACTCAGCACGTGGGCTGGGGTAATTTCCTTTTGGCATGTTTTTTGGTGATTAAACGTCTTTTATATACTTTTACACTTTTGCTTATTTATGGGTTTGGAAACTGTTTTAATGTTGCAGAGAAGGCTGGCCTAGACCTCGTTTCAGTCCACGTATAGTTTTAGCTCTATTCTTAGTTTTAGCCATAGCCCTAGTTTTAGCACTAGTTCTAGCTCTAACTCTACTTGTAACTGTGGTTTAGTCTTAGCTTTATCCCTAGTTCTAGGTTTAGCCCTAGTCCTAGCCTTTATTAGTTCTAACTGTAATCATAGTCGTAGGCTCATACCTAATATTAACTGTGTGGTTCTCGTTTTAGCCTTAGTCTTACAAAGGAGTTGCACCAAATTTCCTTGTAGCATAAAAATTTTCCAGGAAAATGATTTTTATAAACTGCAAAATGGTTTTGGCTAGCGAGATACATACTAGCGACCAAAGCCTTTCAGAATACATAGTGAGTTTTTTTTTCAGCTTTAGTCTTGGCTTTAGGTGTAGTCCTAGTAATAAGCCTAGTCTAAGAAAAAAGTAGTCTTAACACTTCTGTTCTACGATCTAAATTTTTTTCTTATACCGTCTACAATATCTTGAAAGTAATTTTTACTTTAATGTTTTAGTAGTAATTTACCCAAACTCCTAGCTCTACTGTAACTCATCATCACTTTTAGCAGTAAACAATTTCATTGCCAAATAAATGACAATGAGTTAATCTCACGCGCCAAGATTGCCAGGTTCAAGTGTTAGCGATAGCGTCATTGTAATGTATAATTAATTGCACTATTACTAATTATTCTTTTTGGAACGGGAATGTTATTGTAGAAGCTGGGGAGTAGTTAATTAAGTAAAATTAACTGATTTATTTTACTGAATAGTCAATCTGGTATTATTTATATTGTTATTGGGGTTTGTTTACTGTAAGTTGTTGTATGGGCGGTCAAACGGCTTAAGATTTAGTAGAGAATGATCTTTGGTGTTTTTAATACGTTATGGTAAAGTTAAAGCTGTACTTGGTACCATTTTTGTTTTACAATAGTACTTTGGTACTTGTAGTCAGGGCCGGGCGCGAGGGGGGGGACTGGGGGGGGGGGGGGTACCTCCCGCCTGTGGATTTTTGGAAAAAATTTTTTGGACCCTCGCCCCCAGAGCAAAAGTCCCCGCCCGGCCCTGCTTGTAGTACAATACGATGAAGTCAAAGTAGTACTTTTATAGTTTTTGTTTTACGGTACTGTTTTGTTACTTTTATTACGATATGGTTTGACTATAGTGGCACATGGGTACTATTTGTGATCTAAGCTAGTACTTTGGTACCATTTTTTTTATCAATTTTATTTTATTTTTCTTGTTTTTTTTGATGTTTTTGAACTCCTTGTAGCCACCCATGCCAAAAACCATTAAAACAATCATATAATAGAGTTAACGGTCTTATCAGTTGTCATCTCCGACCATAAAAACCCCCAATCCCAAAGGCCTCATTTACATATCAAGACCAAGAAAACACTCGCATTAGAGCCATTCTGGCCGAATAATTGAACCAAATGATGAGGCCATAATTCGACTAATACGCCTCAAGACATTACTTACTATTTTTGGGCGAATTAGGCTTGGCGTTTATTGCGTAGAAGGTTAATTTTAGGAGGGATACGTAGGTTTAGAAGGGTGGTTTTGTGGGAAGAGATCAAGCTATAAATTGGCATTTTGGGGGACCATTTTCAAAACTAAAAAGAATTGTTTGGAGGTACACTTTAAAGCACGACAAATACTTGACGAAAATACTTTTTTGGACCGGTTAGACTTGAAAAGGAACCCAGTAGGCCTGGCTGAGATTGGGTTGAACCAAGCCGAAACAAATTTGAAAGTGGTCGGGCTGTATCATGAGGCCCAAGGGCCTGACCTATATTAATGTTTCAGAAGCTCAGCTTAGGTTTTGCAACGAAAGATTTTACTTGCAAAAGTGTGACAAGAATTTGATGGTTTGGCATAATGCATGAGTAAAAAGCATGTTGCTAGTTAAATGGGCTATTATATGAAATCTATCTTTCCTTACATTACCCTACTTTACCTTAGCTTACTTTCCTTTACTTTACCCTACATCACCTTACTCTATCCTACCCTATCTTACCCTACCCTACCCTACCCTCCCTATACCTTATTATATTCTGCTTTACCTTACCTTTACCTTAACTTGCCTTACCATATCGTACTTTATTCACTCCAATTTTCTTCTAAATTAGCCTTACCTTTGTCGTATCCTTACACTAGCTACGTTAGTCTTATTTTAGCCTTACCTTAAATTTACCTTATCTTATCTTACACCGTACTCTGTTCTACGTTACTCTACCTTACTCTATTTTACTCTACCTTGCCTTACTTTGCTCTACCTTACTTTATTTTATCTCTTCTTGTCTTACGCTGCTTTACTCATCTTTACCTTATGTTATTTACCCTAGCTTTTTATACAATACCCTACCTTATTTTACCCGGTCTTACTCTATCCTACCCTACTTTAACATGCTTTTGAACCAGCCTTGCCTTACTACTTTTTGTGTAACATTTTTTATCAGAAGCGGAAGATAACCTTTATCTATAAGTTAACTACATATAGTGTTCCTGTTGGTTTTAAGCTAAACCCCTAATATTACAGTATACCTTAATATCATTTTTTAATATAATATTATGTCATTATGTCATTTTTAATATAAATTAGGTAATACCACAAACTACCATACAATAACCTTAACCATTTAATAATATTGTAATAACTGTGAATGTTCTCATGTAGTTGGGTGGAAGTTACCATAGATATAAGAGTTGGTTCATGATATTGAATTCCTTTCTGTTTATTACTTTCTCGGTAGTAATACCGTGTTATTGTTGAGCACATAGTACGGTGGGAAGGGACTTTACGTTCTTGTGGTCAAAGGTTGATTTTATATTATTATTTTATCAGGGCGGGGATTTTATATTGTAGTAAGAAGTTGATACGGTAAAATAACTTTTTTGTTAAATTTACTGTGGTATATGACATAAACTTATAGTTTAATGGTCAAAAAGTTTGAAGAAGTGGTAACGACAAAACTTTTTTAAAGTTTGCGATATTGTAGTTCACATCCTCAGGGACGTCGTTTGGGGGGAGGGGGGGGGGGGGGGGTACTCCCTCTCCCAGAGAAAATCTGTAGCGACGTCCCTGCACATCCTTATATTATAAATATGTCGTTTTAGATTCAAAAATTTTGGGTTGTCACCTTTGTAATAGTCAAATTATGTTGATAGTGGTTATAAGATGACGTATTGTGAAGACGACCCAAAACTATTCGACCGGAACCTCGAGTCCACACAGGAGTTTTTGCGTACGATGGCCGCGTTTCAGGCGTAGGTTTTTGAATTTTCTGATTACTGTGATATAGATTACTGTAATTTTTTTCTTGATTTTACTCTACTCTACTTTACCCTACTTTACCCTACCCTACCCTACCCTACTCTACATTACTTTATCATACCTTGCTTTACCCTGCCCTAAATAATTTAAAAATTTTAGTTTCTACGCCCCGCTCCACGGGTATATATGTGTGGTACTGTGTGTTTTCGGCTTTTCCTCCAACTTTATCCACGTCATCGTTCTAACACGACAGTCGATGCGTGGAAGCGCCGTGAATTCCATAATGACGGCGGTAGCACTGTGTGATATGGGTACAATGGCATCGTATTTGATATACATTTGTCATTTTGTTTTAAAGGGGAAATCTGCCACTAATTGGTAAGTTTATCATGTTTTTTGGCTTTTAAAAATGTTTTTTTTTTTATTTAAAAAAACTTTTAAATTTAAATTATATTGTCATTTAAATTTTAAAAATTGTGGAGAAAAAGATGTTGATTACGTATTTTACTAAAGATACCATTCTTTACATTAGTTTACCTTATTTACTTTGTTTAAGCTCTTAAAACAGAATGCCGATCTTGGCGGAAAAATAAAAATTCAAATTTTTAAGCCTACAATAATATAACTTTACCTAACCAAACCCTTTCAGTTCAAACGGGTTAACGTATCTTTCAATGTCATTTCTCTTGTTCCACATGTTCTTAAGTATAACACTACATACGACGACTTTGTGGCTAGCTGTAGCTATGGCCTTCCTTCGTCGTATGACACTACACACTACCGTACTCCATTCTCAATGGCAACGAAGTCGACTGGCAAAGAAAATCAGTTTGGTTGTGTTTTTTACTGTCATGTTATTTAGTCTGCCAACTTTGCTTGTGCATCGGATAGTGGAGTACGAAGCAGATGTATGGCGGCCGAAGCCGAGTTGCGTTCAGTTTTATGAAGCCAACTACAGTGAGACCATCTTTACTATGGCTGTAAGTTTTTTTGAGGAAGGTCAAGTACTAATTTTATTGAAATTTAACAATTTAAAATCAAAAAAAAATTTTTTTTGGTCTAAAAAAAGTCTTGTTGTCATTTTATATATATTTCAAGGGTAAAAAACGACAAGACTTTTTGATGGTATATCAATAAAATTTTTTTATATACTAACTTCACCTCATTCAGATAGCCCCAGCGGCCATGCAAAATGGTTGTATGTGGTTCAAGGCCAACCTCTGGCTGACTGGCACCCTCTTCAAAGTGATACCCTGTGTCCTCTTAATAGTGCTCATCTCTTCCTTATTGCTCAAACTAAAGAATGCTGAACAAAAACGACGTTTACTACTGCTAAACGGTGGTGTAGGTAATGACACCAACAAAAGAATTACCTCGGACAAGACTACGGTCATGTTGTTGGCCATCTTGGGGGTGTTCTTGATCACTGAGTTTCCTCAGGGCATTTTGTCGATCCTCAGTGCTGTTTATACGAACGACGTGCACAACTTGATCTACTTCATGCTGGGTGATGTGCTCGATCTACTGTCGTTGATGAATAGTTCGGTCAACTTTGTACTGTACTGCCTGATGTCGTCGAGGTAGGCTAATATCTTTTTTGGGTTGATTTAATTTTTTTGAAATTTCAAAGTTTAAAATGAATTTTTTAAAAGTTTGAGAATTCAATATTTGTAAAAACTTTATATTATTATATGATTGTAGGTACCGACACACATTCTGCAAGACAGTACTACCGTTGGCTTGGTTCCGTTGTTGTCGCCGTCGCCAAACTCGACCTAACGTTGCCCTCTTCACGAATACCGATTTACCGTCGCGGATTCAGAATGTGGAAGTTTGTTTGACGCCGGACGGGCGCAGAAGGTAAATTTCTTTTTTACTTTTTAAAAAATATGAAATAAAGGTTGTAGATGTAGAAGAATAGGGTATTATATGGTAGGATACAACAAGACACCTAGGGCAGAGCAGATTATTATGGTAAAAAAAGCATTGTAGAGTGCTTTTAGTTTAATGGTTGGGGTTTGCTAGGCCAGGACATGGTAAAAAACTATAAGTCAAGGTAGGTTAGAATATATTAGGGTAGGGGAAGTTTAGGTATGGTAGGATAGTGTAGAGTATGTAAATTTTGAAATACAATTTTTTTACAATATTATAGTAGCCACTGTTTCTAAATTTAAAATTTTAGATCCAGCCCAGCTTTTAGGACAGTACGCGAGCCGTTACTGTCGCAGGTGCGGCTACCTTTGTCAGCCCGAGCATCAAGGACGTAATAACTTCTGTAAACATGCCTATCTTACCTGTATATCTTGTGTCAACATGTACATATATATGCCCTTACCCCCTCTTCCTACACTCTTCTCCTTTCTTCATAAGTTTTCTTTGGCGGCGATACAAATTCGTACCCTCCATGCCAACAATATATATGTACATATGCATCCCTACACCAATACCTACAAGATGTAAACGTCTCCTTAGCCCGTGTGTCTCATCAGCATTTCAAATCTCAATTGTGATACTCTTTTGGTGTAATTCTATTTATTCAATTACAGTGTAATTACAGTGTTCTCTACGATTATTAAATGTATAAATAAAAGGATTAACAACAAGGTAAAGGTATGGTCAGGTACGTTCAGGAGATTGCGGGTCAACAAAAAGTTACGGTAAGAAGTTATAAGTATAGTACTACATCTATGACCGAAAGTCATAGCACTAGTACTAAGGTAGGAATATGAAGCATAAGACTGTAATCACTACAGTACTTATACTTACAGTACTACACTACGCAAGATATCATACAAAGTCCTAAGGCTTTAGCTCATGAGAACAAAAAGCTTCGCATTGCTCTTTCGTACTCAATATCAACACTTCTGGATCATACTCTTCAGGGCAATACCCATATGGATATGACTCACATTTACCGTTTAGCACAACCCACCGTACCGTGAAATGAGATGGCCTCATCGTTTTGTGGCACATGGCTTTAAATGGAAGGAATTGAACACATGCATCTGGATTCTTGAATTCTGAAGAATATAAGGTATAAAATGGCAATCAGGCTGCTTTACCTTGCCCTACCCTACCACACCTTACTCTACCCTATCTTACTATGCCCTGTTCTAACTTGTTTTACTTTCCCTTACCTTATATACCCTACCTTGCCACATCCTACCCTACCCCAACCCGTCGTCCCCCTATCGTAAGATAAACTAACTTAACGTACCTTACCCTATTCTCTCCTACCCTATCTGTAAGTACTATAAAATAAACCTTTTAAAAACACCACTCTCAAAACAAAAACTTACTTTCCAATGTCTTCTCCGCTTTCTGTTCTTCCAAAATCTGTGTAGCCGTCTCCAACTCAACAGCAGCTTCATTAGACGGTAGCTCATCTAAAGCTTCAAATTCTGGCTGTTGTGTGATCGCTCCTTCAGCTGTAGCCAAGAAGTCAAACAAATCTGAATGTCTAAACTCTTCTGGAGTCAAACAAAGTAATTCACAATCATCTTTGGTCCTCATGGTCCTATCATGATCCACTCTAGTACCAGGGCAGAAGCCGAATGGGTATGAATGACATTTACCATTCTGAACATACCATCGTAGTACAAATTGTGTTGATTTGATGAAACCATTAGATTCACAAGTTGTTTTGAACTTTTGGCGTTCACAAATTATACCGGTCGGTTTTTGGGGTTGATCTGATGGTGTTGATGTTGTTGGTTGTGATAGTAGAGATGATGATGAGAGGGGTAATGGTGATGGTTGTGGAGCTAATGGTAGAGGGACTGAAGAATAGCTTCAGTAATTTTAGCCACGGGCAAGATTTTTTAAATTCAAATTTAAAAAAAAATATTTTAGACACCTCCCCCCCCCCTCTCCTATTTTCCCTTTTTTATCCCTTCATATAACCTACCCCTCTGAGCCCGTCCAGGAGACCTTCTAATCTCCTTCTTGTCCTTTTCTTCCACGTTTTTATGAACCGCAGCTTTTTGAAAATCAACTTTGGCGGTTTCATTTTGATCTCCATATAATTCACTCAATTCTTTTAGGTTGGGGCAACAAACTCCAACTTCATCTCCTTCCTCCTTCTCACAAGCAAAGCCATCAGGACAGTCTGTGTCACACGCGTAGATGTCACCTTTACCTTCGAGTAATGGCAAGGTTTTTTGGTCTGAGCAGATTGTCGTGATTTGGGCCGCTGGAATTGAATTTTAAATTTAAAAAAAAAGTTGTAAAAATTTTTCTTAAAAAGGATTTGAATATTTTCTTTGTTAAAATATTGTCCTATTGCTCTCTAGCATCTAAAAAAACTTGAATTTAAACTTCTTTGAAACCTCATTTTAATACTATCAAAACTTTAGTATGACCCTCGGTAGTTGTATAACACCCTCATTATAACGACAGCGTTTTGACCACGTTTTGTCATAGAACCCTTATCAACAAGTCCCTAGCTAGTGTAACACCCTGATTATAAAGACAGGCTTAAAATAGTCCCAAGAGTATCATATGAAAGAGGTTTGATTGTGATTTCGCAAAAAAAATATAATTCCCCGTGTCATTTTTACCCCGCCCAAAATTTTTTTTAGAAGTAAAACTGTAAAATTGTGCTTTAAAAATATTTTTTCGTTTACTCATGCCAAAATTTTATAAAAAAAAGTCCGACCATTCCCTACCCTTTTCATATCACCCTTTTCGTGCTATATGGTTAATAAGTAGTCGTTAGTGTTACTTCTCAAAAAAGATTTAGGGGTCCGAAACGTTTTATACAGCCTAATATAAACTAGAGGACATACTTTGTTCATAAATACTTTTTAAATTTAGTAAAATACTCAAACTACAAGCACCTACCTGCCAAACCGGCCAGCACCGCCGCAATGAAGCCGGACCGCATATTAGCGTTGCTACCGCAATAGAAACAATAAATTACTTTTTTGCAGAACACCGAGAAGTAGTAGGAGGTTTGTGCAGATGCGGCTGAAGATTGTAATCAAATTAAAACAACATTCATAATCGAGATTTACGACGTTTCCACATTCCTCGTGGCGCGCGAGGCGGATTCCTTTTTTTTAATTGAGGAATATGACAAGTTATGAGGAATGCCGTCCCTTATGACTATCACAAAAGGGTCTGTCACAAAGTATGTCTGATCTTCGAATGAGTTATTTATTTACAAAATTTGGAAAAATTATTAAGGAAGTAAATCTACAGTATTCGCAAAAAAAAACATTAATTTCAAAGTTTTGAAAAAATACCGCCAGGCATGGATATGGTATAAGGTATAACAGAGAGAAAATCTATAGTAATACCTTTAGAAAGACAAGCCTTACAAGAAGCAAGCGCAGTTTTTTGTCTCTTCTCAGTTATATTCCCTGCCCTTCCCTACTCTTACTTGCCTTGCCTTGCCTTGCCTTGCCTTGCCTTGCCTTGCCTTGCCTTGCCTTGCCTTGCCTTGCCTTGCCTTGCCTTGCCTTGCCTTGCCCTGCCCTGCACTGCCCTGCCTTGCCTTGCCTTGCCTTGCCCTGCCCTGCCTTGCCTTGCCTTGCCTTGCCTTGCCTTGCCTTGCCTTGCCTTGCCTTGCCTTGCCTTGCCTTGCCTTGCCTTGCCCTGCCCTAGCATCAACCCAGATCTACCCTAGCCTTGGACTTTGCCCTAGCTTTATCATTATATTTGAGTAGAATACAATGCCCTACCCGACTCTACTCTACGCTACTATGCTCTATTCTTTCTTACCTCATCTTACCTTAGCCTAGGCAACACTACTATAATATAATTTGTCGCGTCTTAACTTTTTTTGCCATTTTAGATTGACATGTCATATACACTGACTTAACTTTTGTGATTATACAATAAAGAATACAGAGAATAAGCTAAAATAAAAAATTTTAAATAATTTAACCGCAACATAGAGAAAACGACCGGTAAAATTTTGTAACAGAGGTTTTGGCGCACCCTGTAAAACACTTTTTACGTACATTATTTTGAAATAGTAAGAGTATTTACACTGGTTTGAAAACAATTATAATCAAAAACGCATAAATTTTCATCAACGTAAATCACAAAAGCACCCTTTATTTACCCCCCCCTGAAACTCTTCGCTCATTTATTACTAACACAACTAAAATAAAAATAAGTTTCTTTTTTACAAATCTCCGAATTATTAAGTCACAAGTAAGATATCAAAACTTTGCAAACCAGTCGACAGATGTTTTGTCATCTCGGTGACATATCAGTGACATGTTTACACAGATTCAGCGTGAACCGGAAGCGGCGACGCGAGATCCGGGCTTCTGATTCCAACCTCAAAGTTTTGACAGATTAATGTCAGTTTTTGTTTTAATTTTTGAAATTTTTATCAAAATTTCGAAAAGGCTTTGATCTTTTTATTATATATTAGGCGCCGGCATAAAGAAACCGCCATACTTTGCCCGTAATTTCCTGTAAAAAATGGCGGGTTCATTATGTCGGCACCTAATATGTGGGTTTTTACTTCCTTTCAAACTTTTATCTATCTTGTACTTTAGTTTGGGTTCGGTGTAGTGTTAGAATAGCGTATAATTAGTGTAACTCGTTTTACTCTACTTTACGTTACCCGATCCTAGCGTACCTTACTCTTCTCTACCCTACCCTATATTGGGTTTTTATGTATACAAAGTAATCATGTTTAAAAATTTAGAAAGTTTTTCTCTCCCCCCCCCCATTAAAATTAAATTTCATTATTGCACCAACCCTATCAGTTTTTTTTTCTTATCATTTCATAAAAAATGTTATGCCAAACGTCATATTCTATGTATTCCTGGTCAATATTAGTCACATGCTACACAAAACTGTATAATTTCTCTGCACAAACTATAAATCCGCTGAATGTGCTTGACTGTTTTACATTAATCATCGTTTGAAGCGGTTATTGCGGTTTGACCGACCTTTTCATAACCTTGACCATCAACCCAGTCGAGTCGTCTTTCTGATTCCGTTTACGTGTTTTTGTCAGGTTACTCTTTTGTAAACTAGCCTTTAACTATACGTTGAATCATATTTTTAACCTTTAACTGTCCTTCAGATCCTATTTTAACCATTAACTATATGAACCAGTTACAGTAGAACGACTGTATAACGAAAAATCTAAAAAATCTCCAAGCGAATCGTTGTAGAGAAGTTCCACTACTTTTTTAACTTTTTTAACCAATTATAAAATTATTTGAAATTTTTCATAATAGGGGTTACGAGGCTTTTTTGAAGTCCATTCTGTTGTTATATGCTTCTGAATAAAGAAATGCTTACACCACTTTATGTCTATGATAATATTCAAAATTTCAGTCTAGATGAACAATTATGACTTGGTTATTATTGGAGCTGGTCCTACGGCGTTTGGTGCTCTTCAAAGGTTTGAAGAACTAAAGAAAACTGGGCTTATCAGTGTAGGTTTAACAACATTTTATAACCACAGATACCAAGCGCTTCTAGGATGTTCATGTAATTCTGTGCCCGTTCTCAAAGCAAATTTTCATGACTAGCTGGTGCAGAATTATTTGAACGACCTAATATTTTAATGAGCAGTCTAAATTCGTAGCTTTCAAACTTTTGGTCTACTCTTTCATTTACAATTGTTGATACTTTCTAAATTCAAACTTTCAGAAAGCATCCCGAGTATTAGTGATAGAACGGGAAGACGAGCCAGGTGGATTGGCAAGAACAGTCCAAGATGAAAATGGATTTTTATGGGATTTGGGAGTTCATGTAACTGGCGCTTCTCGATTTACAGCGTTCTTAAACACAATCGACTCAGTTATCGAGGATTGGAACATTCTTCCCAGGCATGTTAGGGTAGGCTTTTCTTTAAAACTTTAGTATTTTTAAAATTGCTAAAATTTTCCTCTTGATTTTCATGATTATCAGCGTGTGTTTAAGCCAGTAAGAACGTATCCTTTATGTACAATATGCAAAAAGAATTCTGAAACCCTATCTCTAAACGTAACATAGGCTATGTCTATATCTAAGCCTTGCACCACGGACTGAAACCAAATTTTAGGCAGACATCAGCCATCTTGTGAAGAATCCAAAAACACCAGCTGACAACTATGCGCCATACCCAGTCCAGAACTACATAAACTATTTCCCAAAAGAACTCATGGAGCAGTGTATAAAAGAGCTGGAGGCGGCTGAATTGGCTAAAGATTGTAAGTTATTCATAATTTTATTTTACTTATTAGGTTGTACAAATAATTCTGTGCCCCCCTGAATATTTGCTTTTATAGGGTGCACAGAATTAATTGAGCAACCTAATATTTATCGCTTTATCTATTTTTTCATAAATTTTAGGTAAAATACGCATCTGCAACTGCTACTATAAAAACAATACTTTTTAAATTTAAAAACCTAAAAAAATCACCATTTTCTAAAAATATAAAACACCCCTCGTTCCAGCCTCCACCCACGCCTTCGACAATTTTGGTACGTTCAGCCTTAACCATTTCGGCCGCACCCTGCAGGACGTGTTCATTCGGCCGTACAACGAAAAGTAAGTGGATCACAAACACTAACCCCGCCTTCTTTTGGGTGTGGACTGTGAAGCTGGAGCAGATGAATATCGACTGGGTGGAGGGTCGTGTTCCCAAGATCGATCTGCCACGGCTGCGCAAGTTGTGTAGCGGTGAGTTAAAGGAAGAGGATGAGAGCAGGTTCTGTTTTCGTTACCCTAACAACTGTAAGGGCATGGGTGAGATTTGGTGTCGATTGGCAAAAAAGTTTGGCACAGAAGTTTTTGAACTGAATTGTGAAGTTGTTCAAGTGGCAGTGGGGGAGAAGAAGGTAAGAGTAATCTCAGCTTGTGTTTGAACGATTTTAGAGTTTTGAGGTTTAAAACAGTACTAAACTTTTATATATGGTACTAACTAGTACTATACTTAATAGTACTTGATTTGAAAAGTAGCCCGGCCCGTTTCGGCTAGCCCACGCCAAGATACTAAAGCCAAAACCACTTCCAGCTAACATACAAAAACTTACTTGACGACACCACCCATACCATCAGTTATGATCGCCTTTTGTCCACCATACCCATCACAGAGCTCAACAAACTCTCCAACCATATCATCCCATCCTTATCACTCTCTCATTCCAAAGTGATTCTCGTTGGTGTAGCCTTGCATCTGCCGCAGAACCAGCTGGCTTCACAGTTCAGTTGGGCCTACTATCCACGACCAGAGACCGTCTTCTACCGCAGTACCGTGATCTCCAACTTCTCCGACAATATGACACCGGACAACTCCAAGTACTGGTCGGTTTTGTGTGAGATCGGCCGAAAACCAGAGGATAATATTGATGAAGTAGTGATGATAAAAGATGTGATAAGGGATTTGATAGAAGTGGGGCTGGTTGATAGTGAAGATCAGGTTCATTCAACGTGGTTCCAGATCATACCATATGGGTATCCAATACCAACGATTAATAGGAAGGCTGAAATGGACAAATGTCATAAGACTTTGGAAAAACAGCAGGTTTACAGCAGGGGACGGTAAGTTAAATTTTGAAAATTAGTAATTTTTTGTCCCTATGATAACAGAGAGGGGGCAAAAAATAAAGGAAAAAAAACAATTTTAAAAAATATTAACCCGCCCTTTCTTATTGAGTTTTGAAAAAAATCGACGGGTATATCGTCGATCTTGACCAAAAGAATCTATAAATATAAAAACTTACACGAATAGTCCTCCTCTCCTATTAAAGGCTCAAATTTGCATTAAAAACGGCAATTCAGATTCGGATCGTGGCACTATGAAACTTCGAACCAGGACAATTGTTTTGAAATCGGTCGATGCTTGATTAATCGACTGTATTTAGACATTGCAGAGCCTCCATTCTAAACATATGACATTGCATGTTTGCCTTGAGAAACGGTTAGATAATAAATTAATCAATTTAGTACCAAACAGTTAGTTATTCATAGCAAAATTTCAAAAACCCTTTATAAGGTATAATGAACCACTACAACACATTCTAACCCAAAAAATCTCTAAAATACCCTTCCATTCCTCCCAATAGCCTTTATGAGACAGAACAACCTATCCTCAATGCCATACCGTACTTAAACCCAAAAAAATTATATATTACAAATTGCAACAACAAATAAAATCATCTCCAAATCCAACCAACAAACCTCAAAATGAAGTTATTTATTGATCGAATTACACAAAAATACTTAGGGCAACACATTCACATGCCATACATTAGCAGTAATAGGTCCACAACAATAATATGTACAGCCTTATTATTATATTGAGATTTCCGTTATACAAAATCTGATTTATAGGAAAAAGTCTCTGTATTGGGAGTGTACAAGGTCCATCTTATTTCTAATTACATTAAACATTTTCTAATTAGAGATACTTAAGTCTTGAACACTACCAAATACTATAAAATTGTGTATCATATTATGTATGATGGGCCCAAAAGTTGAGGCCTTTCACGTATGACTCCAGTGTTTTCAGCCATACATGTTGTTCTTCTTCTGTTACTGCAGCCAGTGTTAACCTAAAAGTAAACAAATTAGTAAAAAACCAAATATTTTAGACATAAAACTATCAAAAAATAACAAATAAAAGTATTTTAGACAAACAGTATTTTGTAGGTAACAACAACATAGTTTTCAAAGTTTAAACCGTATTCACAAAGTTACTTACGTCTCAATGGCTTCAGTGTCCAGATTCTTGTATTCAATGGCAAACGAATGGTTGTACGATGCCAAACTGTCCACTTCTTCCACTTTAAACGCGGACTTCAAGTTGACCACCTTGACTGGAGCCTTTTTCTCGTCGAAATCTCGTTTCGTCTCCCAGAAACTGAGGTGCCATTTCCCAAACACTGCGTATTCGTTGGCCCAATTAGCAACCCCAGCGATAATTTCGTGTCTTCTGACCATCCCTTCGCAATGTTGGTTGCTTTCCATCAGTTTGAAGTCGAATGAGACGTCGATTCGAGGTCCCAATGGTGGTACGGTCTCTGTTTTGAGGTGTCGGTTCCTCATATTGGTCGAGTCCAACTTGGTGGTACCTATTCTTTGAAAGGCACAGTTCATGTCTTTTAGATCGTTGCGTTGAGCGTGGCCTCTGAGGAGGGTACCCATGAATTCGGCTACAAAACTCTTCTTTTCTTCCGACTTTTTGGCTAGCTGAAACAGTATTATAAAGGATGAAACATTCTTCAGCTCGTCTTAAACAATACATCATTTCCTAACCAAAATAATATCTGTATACTCTATTGCAAACTCTACACTACTAAAAACAAATCCTTACCGTGAGATAGTAGACCTCAATAAAGATCTCAAATCCAGGTCCAACGCCATCAACGTTGGTGTACATGTCAACTGTCATCTTGCCTTTCTGATGCTTCCTCGCCGATATACAACTGGACCATTTGACTGTTTCTCTGTGTGTTATCACAATCGCAAAGTAACATGATATCGGCTCGATCAATATTCTTCTTTGGAACTCTGGATGAATATCAAATGTAACTCTGTTGAATGTGAAGGAAGCCTTCATTTCGGGTAACAATGCAGCTGATGGGTTCAACTCGATAATGTCCCTCATTCGACGGTTTGCTTCGACTGAAGCACGGCACTGTAGCATAACGTGATGAGCTGCTACTGTTTCTTCCTCGTCACTTTGTGACTTCGTGTTTATGAGCTGAAGAGCACGTTGGGCTTGCTTGAACTGGGCCAATGTGACGTTCTCGTCGCTGTTCAGCTTCCTCAGAATCTGCTTCACGTACTTCTTCTTGTCTTCGTCACTGGCTTCGTGGGTGACTGGTGCTGGTGAGGCACATTCCACTTCTGATCGTTTTAGGTACATCTTCTCCGACAGTTCTTTTCTGTATTCACTCATCGACCGGTATGGTGTGCCATCGGAATGATCTCCTCCATCTGACTTTTTAAAGCGTGGTAGTGAATTCTTTTGGTATTCTTGAAAGTCTGCATTGATTTCGTCGAATAAACCTAAAACTTCTTAAAATAATTAAAATTTATCAAAAATTAAAAAATTAGTTTGAAATAATAAAAAATCAAAATAAATTAAAATTTTAAAGATATATCTTACCAGACTTGCTAGGAGTTTCCAACACAGCCTTTTTCTTTTGTAAATCCTCTAGAACTGGAGTTGAATGTGTTTTTGGTGTTCCAAAAAATTTCAATGGCTTTTCTGTGCGAGCTGGTGTGACAATCGGTGATGGTAAAAGCTCTTCTTCTTTTACCTAAATTTTTTTAATTTAAATTATCCAAAGTCTTCTAGTCAAATTTTTAACTTTTTTGTAAAGTCATAACATTATCATCACAAAACATAAACCTACAGCTTCTTCTTCATCAACAAAAGGCACTTCTTCCTCTTTCTGTTCAGCTACATCTTCTACCTTTTCTTCTTCCTTTTGATGATGATCTTGTTCATCAAAAACCTCGTCAAATACTGTATGATTTCCAGCCTTATCATTCACATCTTGTTCTTCAAGATTCTCTTCTTCTGCTGACAAATATTGATCTTCTTGTGATATACTCTTATGTGGTGGTACTGGTGGTGGAAGTGTTTCCGACTGCTGACGGCTTCTCACTGTTCCTTCTGTATTATCTGTATTCAAATTCAATTCATTTTCGAAAATACTTTTAGCTTCTGAAGGCTGTCTCACACGGCTTATTGGTTCTGAATATTTAAGTATTAAGTAACATAAAAACTTATTTTTAAAAGTATAAATGTTCAGTCTAAAAAAAGTATCTTAATTTAAAAAAACATAAACAAAGTCAAAATTTAAACCATTCTAAACAAAAATACTAAAATTACCTGTGAATATATCTCGATCACTTCGTTTTGGCTCTCTTCTTGTCGGTGTAATAGCAAATGATTGTTTACTGCTTGTGGAAGTATCTGCATTCTCAAACTTAGCTCGTATGTTGCTAACCTTCTTGAACGGAACATCTTTGACCTTTGGAGACATTGGAAGACTTTCCAATTCAGTTACTCGTGACAATACTGACCTTTTTGGACTCTGAAAGAGAATATTGTTAATAAAATTAAAAAATGAATATTAGTCAGCTATAAAAACATTAAAAAAACAACATGTTAAAACAAAACGAATAGCTAAAAAGTCAAAGAAGAAAAAGTTATAACCAAAATAAAAGTATAATGCCTACCACAACATCGCTCTCTTCCCTTACCTCATGTCTTGACGATTTTGAGCTAGCTTGTGATTCTCTTCGTATAATCCTAGTCTCTCTACATTCAGTGACAGTAATTCGTTCTATATTATCATCATTTTCTCCAAAAGCTTCGCCATAAGTTCGTCTATTTTGAAGGTATTTGTCCAAGGATGTTGATGAATCATCATGGTTCTCTATCTAAAAAACAGTATTAAGTTGTTATTTCAAGTTCAATAAAAAATCTTTCTTCTCTTCTTCTATCTAAAAGTTGGAAACAATGTAAAGGCTAACTTACTTTCTTTCCAAAGGTCTGTAACATCCAAGAACTATCATCAAGATTCTCCTCGACTTCCGCTGTTCCATTGCTCGCGTTTTCGCATGACATTTTACAGGACTGTAAAAAAACCATTAGACTTTGTAAAATATGCCGTTTTTTAAAAAAATTTATAAAAAGTTAAAGTTTTACGTACTTATGCTTTATCCTGTCCAAAACAACTTCAAAAATATCTAAACATCAAAAATAAAGCACTTACATCAGTTTCAGAACCTCCCAATTGTGTATTCGGACCACTTTTCGTTGAACTTAGCGATTCTGTTGAGTCCTTCAACTTATCTACAAATAAACAAGATCAACCATAAAAGCTAACATAATATAAAAGAATATAATATAAAAACAACTATAATCTAAATCGAAACTAACTATTGACTTTCTCCTGAAGAGTTGACAAAATATTGCCTCGAAGTTGGTATTTCTTTTGTGCTTCTTCTATGAAATCGTCCATCGAAGTGTTTGCCATCTACCTATAATAATATTTATAAAGAAATTTAAATAAGTATACGTATAATAATGGCTTTCACAATCTAAAACACAAAAAATACAATTATTTTTTGGTTTTTTAGAGGTAAAACATTCGGATAAGTTGACTCTTTGAAGCGAATTCTTTTTTTTTCGAGGAAATTTTAGCGTTCAAACAAGTAACCGCGCGGGATTTGTTTTCGTGGTGGGACCAAATTATACTAGCCATGTTAATGAAAAAGTAAACAATAAACCTTGTAAACAGTTTTTTGCTTGGCAATGGTGTACTCGATTTGAAAATTATTTAATTTTTGAACAAAATTTTTTATTTATGCTTTATTTTTTATAATATCTGATAAAAATAAACTTTAATTTGCACGAAATTTCGAGCTATATTTATTTTTCACTTTTTGCCTTTATTTTTTACCTAAATTTTCAAATTTTTACTTTTAATAATATTTTATACAGATTAAGAGCGTTCTGATTATTGTTACATTATCTAACTTTACTTACCCCACCTTTTACTTCCGCAGTTATTGCGCAAGAATAATTAAGTCTGCTGTATGTCAATTAAGCTCACTTTCATCTTCAATAACCTCGAATGGAAAGTGAAACTGTTGGGTACAGATCCCCGTGTTGGATGGGCTCGTTCAACCGCTTACCGTGAAGATACCGTGAAAGAAGATACGACATCGTTTAATCGCATAATTGTCGACGCTAAGCGTTTTATACCGTCAGTTACGGTGAGAAGCGACAACGTGTAGCAATAGTATTTGCGTCGTTCAAGGGTCGGGCGACAATTTGAGCTGTTCTGGTGGATTTTGACTTCAACTTTGCCCTTTCTTTATTGTTTTATGGTAATTGAAAGGGGTGTTTTAGGTAATATTCTTGGAAGAAAGGTTTAATATTAGTTAATTTTTACATTATTGTGGAACTAAGCTTGTAAAACCTTTACCTACAAAGCTTTGTGATTCATCTATATCCAATTAAACCTAAAAAAGGCCTTTTGACTCAACTATCTCAGCATACCGACACACATTTATTGAAATAAGCGATGATTTGAAGAATGACCGTCCCTTATAACTACAATCTACCTGTTATATTGGTCTACTTTTTATATATCCACCCTACCCCAGTAAAATCATCATTTTTTCTACCCTCCTGTGGCTGTAGTGCTCCACCACCACCCCCACGTCAATGTGGTCCTCCACCTCCATGTAATCGCCCTCCACCTCAAGCTTGTCCACCATGTGATTGTAGTGGTATTCAACAAACGTCGTATCAAGTACCGTCGCTTCTTACCAACAATTACCGGGGAACCAGTGGAAATTATGTTAAAGCACCTATACCTCCACTCTTACCTCCGCCACCACCCCCTCCAGCAGCCAATTCGTATCTTGTGCCACAACTGACGAATGGTGTGTTACAGCCAAGTAGTAGCTTGATTGAGAGCTACACTTTGCCACCAAGACATGCTTCTACAAGCAGTTCTGGGCATGGACATGGTCATCATCACAGCAAGCTTTCTTGTGAGTTACGACTTTAAAATGCTGTTACGAAACCTAAGTATTATATATCACTATTCAAACCTATATAAATATACATTTTATAGCGAAATCTGTTGACGATGTATACGACGAAGTACTACCTAATGACAACAGTTTATCCGACATTTCTTTTGACTCAAAACGTCTGTCACCAAGCGACATCTTCATCAAAAGAAACAGGTTTTTGAAACAATTGAGGGTACGTTCGTGCTGTTTTTATTTGGTTTTTTTTTATTAGTACCTTGCGCAGCCTTGCCTTCAGATTTTAAAAACTAAAAACGTTTTTAAATTATTAAAATCCAAACTTTGTTTTTTTTCAGAATCGAGCTTTGCGACAATTTTCCGGCAACTCAAAAAGTTCTCTACCTCAGTTGGACGAAAGAAGTTATTTACCATCTGTTTGTAACAACGAAAAGCTGGCCAAAGTTATGGTTAAGGTAAGGTATCAGTAGATACTACTGAAGTTCCAGTTGTAGCTGGAGTAGTCATGACTCATACTTTTTTGTAACAAAATTGTCATCAAGAACACTATCTTACTAAATGAGGCCGCAGGCATTTTTCACTTCATAACTTTCATTTCAGGCTATGACAAATGATATAACAGCTTCAAAAAAGTTGGTTCGTAAAGCAACAGAAATGGCTTTCGATGGCCAGAAGTTCGACGTTCTTTGTGCAAACGGTGACTTCAGCTACTCTGTCTACGCTAAACAGTACTGTGAAGCTACTCGTGGAAACATAACTTGTTTTGCTTTCATCTAACAGTAGCTGAGATTTATTTTGGTCGTTATTCAACTACCTACCACTATATTATTATAGGTTACCTTGTAACGAGGATCTTCCTTGTTTTGTTCTTGATACCCTCCACACATAAACCCTCCTCTTCTACCCGACATCTCCATTTCCAATGTCTTAGACTGAACACACCACTTTATCGACTAAACCAAAACAAAAATGACACTTTTTAAGAATAATTTTTAAAAAATCATAAAAAGGTATAGTTACAATTATTTATTACAAAATATCACAATGTTGATAACTTTACAAAAGTTGAAGCGATCATAATTTACAGATTATTCGAACTTGTATTCTTCGGTGTTTGTCCATGGTTGATGGAAGATGACGGCAGTGACAGTCTTGACGTTTGAAACGTCTTCGTCTCCGTTGATCTGCTCGTTGCCGTTCTATAACATTCGTATTACAGTTGGCGTTACTTCAACAAAGTCTACTAGATTTATAAATAAACTAATACTAACATATTACCCTTCATAAACTAACTTTTAAACTAGCAAATACCATCAGTTCTTCGGTCTCAATACAAAAATATAACTTACGTTCTTCTTGTTCGTCTCTCCGACGTCGAACTTGATCTTGTAGTTGGTTCCAGCAACAACTTGGGTGTGAAGACTGTGAACCTTGACCAACCGATGGAGATTGGCGTGGTTGGCCTGCTTGTTGTAGTTGTGAACGGCTTTTTCAACCCATGGCTAAAAAATAGAGTGTAACTTTACGAAATGTAAAGAACTATGTTGTAGTCCTCTATAACTATATCTAATCCAACCCAAAGATATAACTTCTTCTCTATTCCAATATAAGGCTTTTAATCCACTAAATAAAATAAGATAAATCCTTCAACAGTTTCTTATGAAAAAGCTGATTTACATAAAATAATATCTTTCCAACATAACGTCAAAAAAGCAGCTTGTTATCCAAAGATACATTGTCAAAATTCTTTAGCGTTTTAGACATACAAACGCTACTAAAAAAAACTAATTGCTCTACAAACACCTTTTTACCATACCTAAACTCATGGAAACAAACAAAAACTTGAAAATTTACCTTGAATTCAGCGCTGTTTGGGTCTTGTTCAGTGTATCCACCGCACATGGCTCCTCCGACCATCTTGTTCTTTTATATTCTGAAAGATTGTAAGACTATAAACGTTATTATAACATGAATATATTGAAATCGTCACGAGTTTCCAACGTTTTGCATTCAAAAAAAGCTCGCGAGCAGAAAAATAAAAACAAAACGCAAAAAATCAATACAAAATGAGCGGTAAACAACTCGAATTGGCAAAACAAAAGATGAATCACACAGACAATGATGTGTAGAAATTTTATAGTATTAACTGAAATAATTTTTTGACCTCATTATTTATAAAAACACAAAAATATGAGAGAGAAACCTTTGTCAAAAAAATTTTTTAGTAAAAAACTACTTGTTTACATGATGAAACATGATGTAAACAAGTAATTTTTATTCTCTTATCGTAAAAGAGAATCAAGTAAACAAATAAAGTAACTTGTAAACTCAAATTGCCTTTGTTTAGTAAAATACAATAAGTTCTCAAGTTAGAAAGGCTAGTATAAGAATGCTTAAAGCAAACCCTATAACCTTATTTTAACCTTCCCATTACCTCTATCAATGTTGAATTCAACAAATCCAAATTTTCAAGAACTAAAAAACCTTTAAAAAAATCAAAACTTGGGTCTGTAAACAACGTTCAGACTTCAGGCTACATTTATAAACAATCCAGAAGAGGCGTAGCGAGCAAAAACTTAACGACCTATGATAAGATAAATTAAAATTAATCATAATGAAAGTTGAATGATTTTAACCAAAACTTTGAAATGACAATCGTTAACCTTTCAATTTGGTTTTTTTTTGAAATGTGGCAATTACTGAACAGTCAAATGACAGTTTTATGTTATACCTATTTAACAAGAAGACTTTAAAAAACTCTTTATAAGCATTTTTTTAAGTTTAAAATTTAAAAAATTCTTTAAAAGTCGTTTTTATAAAAGAACAAAAACACTATTGAACTGCAATATGACTATCATAATTCCTAATGTTATACAACACAATACTACAGTTCTATCCAGCCTATAACAGTCTTTGTTCTATTTTCCGATTGATACGAATAGTTGGACGTGTATTTGGAGAGAGTTCTGTCACAACAATAACTAACAAAACATAAAAGTACACATTCTTTAGATAAAAAAAGAATTATACCATAACGATACAATCGCTTTGAAAGCCAATATAATTGAAAAACAATTATTATTCATTAGTTTTGGCTGAAAACGATCATCAATTATGAATAAAAAAAATCATTGTGACTACTTTTGTTTCGCGGCCAAATTGATATCGTTTCAAAAAATCTGTGACTAACCCAGAATTCTCAAAAACCACCAAAAATTTAAATTGAAAATTGACAAAAAAAGGTATGTTCAATATTTTTTGAAAACGCAATAGCCCCTCCCGTTTCATTTTACCCCTGCCTATCTCCTGGTCCTATTTCTTACCACACTGCCATCAGTAGAAGACAAAAAACATCATTGTTACTTTAAACTGCCCCAAAAATTGCCCAAAATAACAGAAGCGTGAATACTAATGAAGAAAATAACCAATTCAAACCAATTTATAGCCAGAATTTCGAAATTCCATTTGAAAATTCAAAATAGATCGCATATGTAATATTTTCGAGGAACGACAAACAAACAGCCAAAAAGCGATGAATCACGGTTTCCTCTGACAAAAACTAAAACGGGTCTTATTGTGAGTAACGTACAATAAAAAGTACCAATCTTCACGGAAACGACGGTTTTTATGACGTTCTGAAGTTCCGTATTCTGATTATTTTATGTCATTCAGAAGGATACATATCAGAAACGATAAAAAAAACTACATCAACACAGTATAAAGTTCAAAACATTATCACTGGTACAATATTAACTCTGGAAAATTTTTAAGCGTTTAAAAACTATAAAGAACGTAGAGAGCAAAAATAATGTGCACCCTTCCTAAGCCTACAAAAATATTCAAAAAAGCAGCCTCCAGGTACTAAAAACTGACCTCAAGGTAAATAGTCACGACCAAGAAACAAAAATTAAAGTTATACAAAATTTGCATAAATTTGCAAAAGATGATAAAATGACTACTAGAGCTCATTTTAGTCATTTTTCGAACAGAGAACCGGTCGACGGTTATTGTGACAAGAAGAAATGTCAGTACGCGAACATTCGCAATCAAGCGAAGACTTTCCGACCGACAAGAGCTCCAACCCATCCAATAGCAGTTCCATAATGTAAGTTCCTCCTTGATCATTATTTTCTTGATATTTCACCAAATTTTACATTCTCCCTCAAAATTTTTTTTCAATCATTGCCCTAACTTTTTGGAGTAAAATCATCCCAAATTCTGAATCTTCAAAAAATTTTTATATAAAGAAAAATATTTTGCCTTTATCACCTGATATGCCTAACCCTTTAGCATCGTAAAAAGAAAGCCAGGTGAGTTCCTACATGACTGTTCGCCAACAGATATGTCGTTGGAAGAGTTTACTCGGAGATTTTGTACCATGAACGTGTATCGAGTGTTCTTCGACTACACCACGATCCTACAATCGGACACAAAGCAACAATGTTTCCCGGACGATAAATACTACGAACTGAGTCGCTACGCCGATGTCAGATGCTTCGAGGAGACTAGAGTCAAAGTTCCGTGAGTTTTTGCTACCTAACCTTTATAACTATTATACTATACTAACTTAATATTACTCGTTTCAGCTGCAAAATCGGCAAAGAAACCCATGATTACATCCACGCAAACTTTGTGGATGGATATCGTGAAGACAAGAAGTTCATCCTAACTCAAGCCCCATTACAAGCAACCGTGGAACAGTTTTGGCACATGATATGGAACGAGAGAGTGACATTGGTAACGTGCTTGACCATTATTGATGGCGTCAAATGTCCACGATACCTACCAGTAAATTCGGCGGAAAAGATGACTCAAGGCCCCTTTACTATCACTCACGCTGGAACCAGACACATTCGGGAAATGTACGATGCCACTGTGTTGTTCGTAAGTTGAAACAAACCTTTAATTTTAAATAGTTGAAATATAACTAATCAAAAACGTAGAAGATCTGTTAAAAAATTATAAAATCTATTAAAAAAGCCAAAATATTGTCTAGTTTCGCTACCCATATATGTTAACTAGCCAAAACCTAAAAATGTACTGTGAAAAGTTAAATTGTTTAGCTATCCAAAGAGAATGAACCAGCAAGAAAGATTTTGCACATTGCATTTTACTGTTGGCCAGACAAGGGAACTCCAACTCGGCCGACTGAGATCTTGAATCTACTCGAAGATATGAACTACAACAGAAAATTGCTCAAAGAAGAAGCTATCAAAGCTAATTGGCTAAAAGAGAAAGAACCGTAAGTTGAGGATGCTTCAGATAATGGTGTGTCATAGTGAAAACACCAAAACGCAGACGTTGTTTTAGTAAAATTTCAATAAAACTACGTTTTTCAGGTCCCCAATCCTAGTTCATTGCCTAGCCGGAGTTGGTAGAAGTGGAGCCTTGGCTGCAATTGACATTTGCAGTCGAAAACTGGACGAAACCTTTGAAAAATCTTTTGGTCCCAAAGCTGATATCCGCGAAACCGTCACCAAGATCCGAACCCAACGTGAGATGGCCGTCCAGAAGCCGGAACAGTACATGCTGGTCAACATGGCCGTTCTCGAGTACGCGCTGAGACAAAGATACTTTAACAATGTCGATTTTATCGACATCAACTCGTTCCTGGCCATTGAAAAGTAAAACAAGATCTTCTACGATTAAGTGGCACAATGGTCTACATGTTATGTTCGAGTTTGATAAATGTATTTCATTGAATCACAATAAAGTTGTCTGTCTTGTAAAATTGAGTATTTTTTAGTTGACAAAGTCAAAAATGAAATGCCACAAGAATTTTCCAGGTCCTAACAACTCTATGAAGCAAGATATAACAAAAATAATGTCGCTCTTAGGACAAGTTTAATGTCTTTTCGCGAAATGAACTATATTATCCATGATAACCCAGCAAAATTCGAAGAAAATAATACAATACAAATATGAAATAATAAAATAACCCACAAAACATCAAATCTGCTCCATTGAGATCAATGGAAATGTCCAGGACAAAAATCTGTTTTTCCAGAAAACCACGTCTATAAAACATGTCATGATGACGGATTTTAAGTTTGTTCTAGATTTTCTGTTTTTGGGAAAAAGAGGTAAACGTGTACACGGTTTTTATTCAAATTATTGTTGATTAAACCCTGTCTTGAAGAGTTTTATCCATCAGCTTATGGGTTTAGTTTGAAAGAATGAAAAAAATTTACTAAATGAATTTTTCGTTAAGTTTTGGACAATATTTTGTTGGTTTACCTGATTAGATGAAGGTTATGATTTTGAAGCGTATCCTTTGGGATTTTATTCGATTATCAGTTAGTTCATTATTGTTTTGTTACTTCAACTTTTTTATTTATAAAGTGTTGTTATTGTTTTCATCTTGGTAATTTGACGTTTCTACTTGTATTTTTTAGTTTTTTCATGTTTTTATTGTTTTTAGGTAACATTATTTTGTTTGCTATCAACTGTGTGTAAATATAATGTTTGTAAATTGCTTTTTATAATGGTTCACTTATTTACGCTTTCTCTTTGATGAATATTTCGTTCCATCTATATTTTTGAACAAAAATGTTATTTTCAGGTGACATTTTCTTGTTACGTCGAATTTGGGACTCATTTCTACGCTTTCTAGCCGCCAAAGGTTGGTCGAAGCCTGTTCTATCTTGGGCTGGCCAATATTTGGTCAATGTTAATATATAAACTTGTTGATTGTATCATAATAGAGGACGTTTGTGGGCAATATGGTACTTCAAGGAGTGCCGCATGTTGTGAATTTTGCGTTAGGAACGCTAACTAAAGGAAACGTCGAGGAAAAGGTAATGATTTTTGATTTTTTGACTTAATTTTTAGGGGTTTGAAGAAATGGAGAAGTGAAGATGTATATTGGCTCTTTTGTTTTTTCCAGAAGTTTTCTAACAGTAGGGATGACGTACATTATTGCATTTTAATTGCTACAACATAATTTACGTATAAAAAATGTTGGAAAGTAATATAAATTGAAGAAAAGATATAAATTACAGTGATCATATTGTACACTCACTAAGACGACAATTTTACAAATTTCAGGCCGACATGTTAAGGCAGGTAATGCCTGACAGTTCGCCGGAAACTCGAAGCTGGTTTGTCTCTTTAATTGTTGGACGAATTACGAATGCGGACATACGGTCGATCGAAGTGTTATGTCATCTTATCCATCACATGAACTCGGATCTTTTATGGGAACAAGTTGTGGAAGAGACGGTGTTACAAGCTCGACAAATCATTAATGGTTTAGTTAATCCGCCTAGTGGAGGGCCTCAGAAGGCGCTACGAAATCTGGGTGGCTTCTTGGGATTGTTAACGATTGGAGCTGATAGGCCTATTCTATTGGACACGTTGGACTTAAAAAGGAGTTTAATTGACGCTATTGGAGAGAGCGATGATAAGATGGCGAGAGTTCTGCCTTTTTTAGTTCATTCTTTGAAGGCTAGCGCGAGGAGTACGGTAAGGACGGTTAATCGTTATTTTTGAATATTATTTTTGTGAACATTTAAATTTTAATGAGATATAGTTTTAGATTTTCCACCCAGCTTGTTCGTGGCTAGCCCCGATTTTTCACCTCCTAGAACAACTTCAAAACGAGCCAGAGCTAAAAATGGTGTTCAATTTAGAGATTCAGAGCTTGTTTACGGAACTTCGCGAGAATTCAGGGCCTTCACTAGTGGATGACATTGATAAACTACCTTCTAGAGCAACCCCAATCGAACAGGATTGCCCACCAAGACTGCCTTTACCTACTGCAGCTCAGGCATTTACGAATGCTTTTGGATTTCAATCAAACATGTATAACATGCATGCTTCTGATAGTCAAATGGTAGGGGTTTTGTGATAATAATTGAGTTTAAATAACGTGATTTTACTTTAAAATTTGCTTTTTAATACCCCATTTTCAGTCATCAGCGTTATGTCAATACTACCCTCAAGACCTAGCACCCGACTTGTACGATATGCCGTACTCGCCGACCGAATCGATGGGATCTCAGTTTAATACTAATTTCTTCAATCCTGCTTTTATGCAAGGGCCACCAAAGAGGAACATGTTTAATAAGTTGCATCATACCCACTCGGCGCCAAGTTTGGATCAGCTAGGAATGAGGGATTCTCCACAAGGAGTCGTGAACTTCAATTGTAACCCGAGCTACGGAATGCCGAGCACGCAGCGAACTGGTGTGTAGGAGTAACATTTTATTTTTATATTTTTTAAAAAAATCTTTGAAAAGCGATTTTTGATGATTGTTAAATAGGTTTATATACTATAACACGTGGTGTTTTAGTTTTCTGTATTATAATTTATGTTGTTTTAGTTAATATTCCATTTTCAAAGGACCAAAAGTACTTGTGGGATGTTATCCAACGACTAAACTTTAATTGTACTCAACTGTTCAAAGTGATTCCAAAGACGAAAGAATACGTCATTGAAGCTATTCAGCCTTTGATTAATGATGCGGAAAGTAAGGCCTAAACAATTTTTTTGTTGTTAATCTTTCCATCATTTGTAACACGCTCTTAATGGTTAACATACCTATGATAACCAACTCTACCTCTTCAATATAACTAACTTTACCCCTTCAGAAACCGTTTCTCAAATCCTGTCTCGTTTGAGTGACTCCGTGAAGCAAAGCGCTCTCACAATACTGTACCGTGACATGGTACTAGTGGAAGATCCGGTCGTTTTAACAATGGCATTTCAATCTACATTCCGAGTACTTTTGTACGCAATGTACGAACCACGAAGTGCGATCGAAGTTCTAAGAGATAGATACACGGAAGCAATTCGAAAAGCGATGGAGAAGACGTCGGAACAAGTTGGACAAAAGGTGGAGGCCATGAGGACGATCTTTGATCATGCTAGTCAGGAATTCATTATTGTAGGGATTTGTTTTGTTTTTGGATGGGCCTTATAGCATTTTTTTTTGATATTTGGGGGTTTTTAAGAATGCGAAATGTTTTTTTTGCATTTATATTTACAGGGTGTCCCAAGAAATTTGCAGGATTTTAAAAATTTGTAATTCATCTTTAAGTGATGGCTGAAATACCAAACTTGGTACGGTGGAAGTATGGCCAATGTATATTTTTTGTGAAGAATTTTGGGATTTTAGAGTGCATATGAAGGTCGTTATGAATTTTTGAAAAAACCCATCTTTACCCCGAAATACACATATTTTCAGTTGAAAATCACTTTTTTCATCAAAAATTTCTTTTTAGCTGTTTTGTGGTTGGAAATGCATTTTTGAGATGAAAATTTATGTTCTCCGCAATGGCGAAGAGTCGGCGGACGCTTTAAATCATCGGCGGAGGCCATAACTCGTTTCAAACTTTATGGATAAACTTGAAACTAAAACCGATTTTCTTAAAATTTTATGCGCTATCTTCCGATGTATGTATTCCATCGAAATGTTAGGTAAAAACAAAAGGTTACACAAAAGAGACAAATCAAACGCATATTAAGGTAAAATGTGTAATGTTGTTTATATGGGCATAGGTATAGAAAAAAAAGTTATAAGGTTTTTATTTAGGAAATTTAAGTTACTTATTTCACCTTTTTTAGTATTATATTGTAAAAACTACCCAAAACATAAACTGCAACTGAAAAATTCCACGAAGTTTTATTCTAATATTTATCTTTTTAAAATATAGACCAAAAATTAACTTTTTATGATGCTAATAACTTAAACTTTTAAGTTTCTGTTTTTGCCTTAACATTTCAACACAATTTATACACCGGAGGATAGCGCATAAAATTTTAGAAAGATCGGCTTTGGTTTCAAGTTTATCCATAAAGTTTGAAACGAGTTATGGCCTCCGCCGATGATTTAAAGCGTCCGCCGACTCTTCGCCATTGCGGAGAACATAAATTTTCATCTCAAAAATGCATTTCCAACCACAAAACAGCCAAAAAGAAATTTTTGATGAAAAAAGTGATTTTCAACTGAAAATATGTGTATTTCGGGGTAAAGATGGGTTTTTCAAAAATTCATAACGACCTTCATATGCACTCTAAAATCCCAAAATTCTTCACAAAAAATATACATTGGCCATACTTCCACCGTACCAAGTTTGGTATTTCAGCCATCACTCAAAGATGAATTACAAATTTTTAAAATCCTGCAAATTTCTTGGGACACCCTGTACTGTTTGCCTAAAATACATGATAAAACATTTAGGCGAACAAATTTGTGATTGTCGAGTTGATCAGTCAAACAATCGACCAATTCGCTTTCGATATGGCCCAAATGGAGTACGAAAAGATGATGTACGAGCGGTCGATCACACTACGAACGAACGCTCCACGACCAGAAATGGCTAGGTTCATAGGCCATCCACATTCAATGCACGTCCTAAATGCATCGTTACCTCCAAAGTTACGAAGACACGTCTTGTTAGAAGCCAAGGAGCATGTAATACTAGACAATTTTGAATCGATGGCGAAACAACTTCAATCTCATTTGTACACGTTGTTCACATTTAAACCTCCGAAGGAAGAAACGAAGACGGAATTGCCGGCTGTACTACCGAAGGTGTCAAGGGAAGATTTCCAATTGAAAGCATCGTTGGAGTCAACATTACCTGATTGTATTAGTGGGTAAGAATAAGGTCTTTTAAAATGGCATAAGGATACATAGCTATTTTTGAGTGCAATTGATATCTTCAAAACTAAAAAGCAAATTTTCAGATCGCCAGTAATAACCCCAACAGAAAAGAAGATGACCCTAGAGTCACGAGCTGTCGGTTCTCAACTTCTAAGCCAATCAACATCACAAGCCCAAGCCGAGAGAGTTTTTTTTGATGAATCGATCGAAAAACTGTTCAAAGATTGGTGTATTGCGTTGAAGAATGGTTTGTACGAAAACTCACGAGCTCATAGTACAGTAATCACTCAACTATACGAACTTGGCGTAACGCAAGATGAATCCAAAATCAGTCGATTTGTCTACGTTGGAATGCAGATTTGTTTGGAAGCGGCGAATTTGCTGGAAAAACAGGTGGGTTTTTGGATATTATACTAGTTTTTATAATATGTTTTTAGGTACAAAATTTGATTGTAAAATACGAAATTAAAAAACTTTGTAGTCGTGGTATAAAAGTTTGAAAAAATTAGCATGTACTTAGTGTCCGCGAAAAGCGGAGGCAACGGGCGTGGCCCGATACCCCCGACTTACTGCATTAACATAATGGTCAGTCGTCCACACAATCAAAAGGGGTATCGGGACCACGCTCGGTCGCCTGGTCTTTTAATAATTGTGTTTTTGGTAATATTATATTTTTTGATTGTTTTATCATCGTGCATATTGTCGAGTTATTGTATGTTTTCTGTTTCGGTTTATTAACCCAAGTTTGAGGGTGTAACAATAAATCCTATCAAGTGAAATTCTCGGATCGTCGGAATTCTTCACACTTAGCAAAATCACTCTGTTTTAGGATAGCAAGGACCGTATAGCCGCGTCGAGACAAATCCACAGCTACGTGACCGCCTTCTTGGCCATGATCGACTGTGTAGCGGAGTTGGAACAGGAAAAGAATGAGAAACGATTGCATTTTGTACAAACGGTTGGTGGCGCCATGGTCAAGTTGATCACGGAAAACTTTGCCGAAGACGTGGTAGCATCCGTAGGGTATCTTCAAAGAAGCGTATACTACTATGCCTTGAGGTCGTTGTCCATAAGCCAACTAAGGTCGGGGACAATGTGTGCTGTGCCGTTTGTCGAGTTTTTGTGGTAGGGTTTTTGGTTATTTTGAGGTTTTTCGATAGGAAAATTATTTTATATTGATTTTGTATGTGGAAAAATTTGTTTTTGAAAAATCAATGTGATTGCTGTATATTTTGGAGTAAACATGCCATTTCTGTTTTATAGTATGCAAATTTTTCAGCCGAGCATACGAAAAGCTGAACCCAGTGAACCTGCCCGCCTTCACCGAGTCCTACATCCTTCTCATCGTCCAGCCAACGTTTTTAAGCACGTTGTTTGATCCGGAACTGGTCTCGAAACAAACAGCATCGTCCCTCTTCATGCTACTTCATTCCCCGGTATTAACTGTACTGAAAGACCTAATGGAAAGTGGCGTCAGCAATGTAAAACCGGAGGTCCTGAGCTTATATTCGGCCAACTCGCAGATCATTAAGTTGTTGTACACATATTATCCACAAGTTTTACAAGATTTTCACTTTACATACGTGGAAATGCTGCCGAGGTTGTGCCTTCACTTGAGGAATTATGTGTTGGATGCGGCGGTGGAGTCAAACAGGTCGAGTTATGATCCCAAGAGAACGTTCGCTGATGTGAGTTTTGTTTTTGGGTTTTTTAGTTTATTTTAATCTTTTTCAATAATTATCCTTGTCATATAATCGTGTTTATTTTGTTTTTGGTTTTTCAAATAGTGATTTTATATTTTAACTACGATTTGTTGTTATTTTGTGAACGAGTCCTTCATTTTTCCCCAATTTCAGTACTGCAAAACGCCTCAAATGAACACGAATCCGCTGGTCCACGCCGACTTGGCCAATGTAATTTCGGAAGAGTTAAAAACAGCCGTCGATGACTACCTTCAACACCGCTCATCAATCGAATCCTTGTGCAATCTCTGCACCTTCCTAAAGCAACCGAGCGATGTGAACAGGACGACGCAGTACAACTTGACATTGATCAATAGTCTAGTGTTATATCTGGGTGTGAATGCAATCGACGAACTCAAGAAGACAAAGCAACAAGTCACGGTATTCAGCTCACAAAACACCGCCGAAGCCAATGTGTTTAGGTATTTGATGGTATCGTTGTGCAGTGAAGGTAGGTCGAGGTTTTGTTATGTGATATGGTATGATAGGTTGTTAAGGCTGTTTTGCAAAGTTTTTTTGAAATATATGAGGAAGAAGTAAAAACTATTAAAAATGTGATGAAGCCTTGAAGATTAGAAAAGTTATCATATAACTTTTTAGGCCTCTTCCGACTCTTCACCTCAATGACGGACCAACTCCGGAACGCCAGCACACATACCGCCTTCTTCGCGTCCCTGGTATTACACATGTTCCAAACAGCACACTCAGATACGATCCGAGAAATCATCACAAGGATATTGTTGGAACGACTACTTGCTAGCCGGCCGCATCCCTTCGGAGTGAAAGTTGTAATGGCAGAACTTCTCACAAACCAAGAGTACAAGTTCTTCGAACTACAGTTTGTTCACAGTTCGCCCATTGTGGAACGGTGAGTTTTGTGAAATGTTAGGTCAAATAATAATCAAATTGGTGCCTACCACAAGTTTTACAATTAAGAATGTGTAGATGTTTTAAAATAAATGTTAGGAGCTTATCTTGAGCTCATAAGCTAAATTCTCTCTTTTCAGAATCGTAGTGTCTTTGTCAAAGTACCTTGGTATCGAGCTGAATGCAGAAGTGATCAACGACACGTTCAAGTTCTTCCCCCTCAAGAAGAAGGAGGACAAACCAATAATGATGACGCGGATTCCAGAATCCATCAGCAATGAAGAAGCACAACGACAGCGAACTGCAGCCATGAGGTGATATGACGGGGAATAGAATAAATTATTGTTAAATTACCGCATGTCACTTTTGTTTTACTATAGATTGGGTTTTAAGAATTTGATGTGATTTTACAGTTAATGTAGGTTAAGCTCACTTTGCTTAACGTAAGATTTAATTTCTTTGTAATTGTGAATACAATGGTTTTTTTAATCTTAAGTGAATTAACCCTCTTACTGTAAAATTTTATGACACATACGGCTTTCATTTTACTGTAATATCACTAATTAAAGCTTTAATGTCATTTTATTGTAAACCTTTGTTAACATGTCGTCTTTTCTCAACGAATTTATTCGACCCCGAATGTACACTGACTACTGTATCATTTGTCATAGCTTTGTAGCGTTGTTAGGCCTCCTCTGTTGCTCCCCTTTCACCCCTCATTGTGTATTTAGTTCTGTCTTTTCCCTTATTGATCATAATAATATACACACCCCGGTTGAATTTTTTACCCATATTGAATATAGAAATAGTGTTCTTGTGTCGGTCCCCCCCCCTTTTTTTCCCTTTTGAATAGTCTAAATTTGTTTTGTGAATTGTATGCTAATTTAATTTTTCTTGTTATTTTCCTTATAAAGCCTTGTTAAAATACGAGAAATAAAAATTTCTATTGCATTTTGTGGGCTTTGAGTTCATTGGTTAAATACCTTTGTATGTATGCAAGGGTGAGGTCGGAATGATAAAAGATTATTTTTAAAATGTAGGTATACCTTACCTACTACAATATGTTTTTATCCCTCCCTAATGTTCTTCCAACGCAACAGATCTTAAGATGTCAAACAATCAAGTTAATTTAGGATGCTTTCAGTATTAATTTAATAACCACAAAAGATACACAGACAAAAATACAGTAATCATTAAGTGTTAGTAAAAAATAGTTAATTGGATTTGGTATGAGATATCATGTCGTACATGCCCTGGATTCCGTTTCGGAATGGGATCGGTTCCTCGTTGAAGGCTTCTTTTAGGTTTGTCATCATGAACTGAATCGTCGAATCCCAGTTGGGGAGGCGGGAACATGATGGTATGTTAAGGAATTGCTCTAGGATCTCGACGAATACGTTTCTGAAAATGGTTAAGATATTGAAACGTTAATGTAACTTTTCGACTTCAAAGATCGAAAAAAATAAAATTTGTATAAATCCAATAACAAAGAACCAACCTATTGACCAATCTTCGTTTAATCGCGACCGTAGGCTTGTATTTATCGCAGATTTTGGTGACTTCCATATAATTGTTCGTGATAAGCAGGTACAAACTGGCCGCAAAACCGTAGAAGTCGGTTTGATACGTCCATGGTCTGCCGTCAATCATCTCACAACAATCAAAGGCTTTGGTTTTGGCACGGCCGCGGAACTCTTTTCCTTTGAAGTACTTCATGTCGATGGCTCTGCCAAAATCGATCAGTTTTATTATTGGCCGTTCCATTAGAGTGGCGATCTCGATTGGACCGTCGATACTAAAACAACATAGCATTAGTGATAAAACTTTAACTTGATAAAACTATAACAATAATATGGCTTTAAAGTCAGGAAACGGATGAACTTCAACATCACAGTACAGAAAACCCCTTAACAATATAGTTCTTGATATCATCAACACTATTTGCAAATTAAAAATTTGAAAAAACTTACGGTGTGCACAACAACAAGTTATCAGGTTTGATATCAGCATGAATGATCTCAGCTTTGTGAATGTATTTCAGTACATTTGCCAGTTGAATTCCGATCACATTTACTGCAGCACCGTGCATTTCTCGTTTACTTTTTTTGTAAGTGTTGGCCAGGTCCTAAAATGCAAAAAAAGATATATCAAGCTGATTTAGTAAATAAAGTAAAGTTAGTGAGTATATCATGATATTCTGATAGGACTTCTAGTTATAAAACATACCAAACTTATCATTCATGCTATTATGATATAACATATTTTTTCAAAGTGATATAATATAATATCTACTCACAACTTTTTATTTAAGGCTATAACTCACCAAAGCGGTCCCGTGTTTACCATACGAATAGACAATGGCACTCGCATCTCTGAAGATAAAAGCATCTTGGATTTGCATTACAAATTCCTTCAATTTCTCTGGCATTGCTCGGCATACAGTGGCGATCATGTGAACTTCGTATGGACAGGCAGGCTTTTGAAACTGAAAATATTGACATTAAACTTTAAAATCCACAAAAATCCATTCAAAAAATGAACAAAAAATATTTAAAAAATTATAAAACTTGGTACGCAAACAAAAAAAATATTATACAAGAAATTAGGTAATAAGTGATTTTTCACCCTTACAATTAGCCCCATCTTCTTACCTTGATTGCATAGTACTTGTCCTCATCGTTAGCCGCTTTGAAGACCTTGGCAAATCCACCATGACCAAGTAACTGAGTAATGAAAAAGTTCTCTCCACCCAATGTTACTTTACAATTCACATCGAATTTGGGGGCTTTCTCTTTTGTAAAGTCATGTTGGTTTACAATAAGATGGGCTTTCCTGACCATTTCCATTCGAGCGTTCTCGTCCCATGGATTGATGTCGCCATTAAACTCGAGGCTAAAACAAGACACATTATTACCTAAAATCCAAAAAAAACATAAAAACCAGAAAGAAACGTATTATAAATGAATTTTGAGATCCAATATTTAGCTATTTTACAATACTTTAAAAAGCTAACGTACGATGCATTTATCGTGCTTTCCAACACTTCTTCCGAATTTCCTGGGCCACATAACGTTAGTTTGTTCAGTGCACTTTCCAAATGAGGGGATGGTGTCTACAACAATTTCATTACAAATCTTGTCTAAAATAACATAGAAAACCATATACATGCTTTAACACCCATTCAGTATAATAAATTAAACTATGTATAAACCTTATGGTAAGTTAAAAACCGTATTTTACCTTTCTCTTTTCTTCTGTCTTCTTAGTATTGAAATTCATGACATCTTTGCTCAAATCCAACGGTGATTCGACTCGATCAAACACTAGTGTTGGAAGGTTGATACTCATGTTACCTTTCGCTTTTGAAGCCGATTCTGGTGTACTTGAGAGCATATCGAAGTTGGAGGGGCGACCAAATCCACAAACAGTCGGACTGTTTACATCTAGGGACTTTCGCTTGTCCTGAAAATTAACTTTTTAAATTTTTTGGTTCATTTTTTAAATTTATTTCAAACTAAAATTCGATCTGACACTAACAAACTAAGATTTTTCTTTACAAACCCTAATCTTACAAAACAGTACTTACATTCTCCTTCTCATCACTCAAGTTTTCGAATGAAGCCGAATCTTGTAGACTAGTTTTAGGCTTCTTGTGTGCTGGCGAAGAGCAGGCCAACTTTGGTGGAGACTTGACCTTTTGAGGCTTCGGACTAGGCTGATCACAAAAAATTGAAAAATCATCCGTTTTCTTAGGCTGCGATTGGGTATTCACAACTAAAAATGAAAAATCATCAGTTTTTAGTCAATTAAGCACAAGTATTAATTATTAAGTTTAGCGTAAAGTCTTCTTTTGTCTGTTTTTAAACACCATCAAAGTTTTGTTGTAAAGATTACCTTGAGTAGTTTGAGAAGCCGGTAAAGTTTCGTAAAAGTCGCTTCGGCCAGCTGATCCTTTAGCTCCTTTATCATCTTCTAGTAACGAATTCTCAATGCTCTTCTCCATAACCATATCCAACTTTGGTGGAGCTCTAAACAATAATAATTTGATTATAATAAATTTTTATGTCCAACCACTTTTCATAAAAGAAGCCAAACACCCAATATAATAACCAAAGAGCTCAAGCCCAACTTCAACAAGTTAAACTAGATAAATAGTAACTTACAAGCTAGACCTACGTCTATGAATAGCAGCTTTTTCAGGCTTCGATGGAACTGACTTCCTAGGGTTATGTTTGACACTTTGAATCAACAGTAATGTCGTATCCGCTTCTTTGGGGAATATAGAATCAAACTTGTGCCTAAAATTAAAAAATTATAAAATACAAAGTTTATAGTTTATTTCAAGCAATGTAATATGAATATAAAGAAAAAAACATGTAAAACAAAAAAGAAGCATACCCAAACTTTTCCTTGATTTCATCCATTGTTAACCGACAATTTTCACAACATTTCTCCAACAAAGCCGGGATATCTTTTTCTTTACCGTGTTCAATTAAAATCTCTGCAAGATGTCGGTAATACTGCCAAAATTCGTTGTAATCCTTTTCGATATTCTTAAAAACTGTCAACGCTCCAAGATTTCGGCTGGTTTTCGACTAAAAACATTGATTCAACCTTTTAAAAAATTAATAAATTAATTTAAAAAATTAATTTAAAAACTGTAACAATATATTTTGTTGCTCTTAACGTGTAACTTGTGTTGTATCAAATCATTAATTTTTACAAAAAGTTGTTTCATTCTTTTGGCTTAATACCTAAAAGTAATGAAAAAATATTAAAAACGTACGAATTTGTGCCATAACTCCAAAATAAGTTCAAGTTCTTCATCTGAATCGAATTGAAGCGATCGTAAGAAGTGCAACAGCATCTTCTTTATTAAAACTTGTTGTAGATTAGGTTTCACATCTTGTTCTGCCGCTGTTACCATCCTAAAACAAATAAAGTCTAATACCTTTATGAACCGTACTTCAACTGAACAATTCTTTGTCCTAAAGCAAAAAAACATATAGAAAGAAAAAAACTTACTTATGTACAAAGCGAATTTGTTTGTCTTCATCGACGCATTTTTCAGTTAACCTGAAACAACAAGTTCAAGCAAATATTTAAAGTACAATAAAAATTTAGTCTTAAAAGTTGCTAAAGTACTCTCCAAAAAGCCAGTTAATTTACCTTCAAATCGTTAAACCTTCTTTTGATCAAAACAGTAAAAACTTTTTAAAAAAAAGTAAAAGAAACTCCTAGAACATATTTCAAAACTCATTATTTTCATTTGTAAATAGTAACTTACAAAAATAAACCTTTACAAAATACATCAAGTAGTTTATCTTCCTCTTTTGTAGCCATTTTTCTATGTTATGAACAGCAGGTTAGCGAGGAATCCGAACTTTTTTATGCGGCGAATTTCCTCTTTTCGAATATTTATTTTTCCGCGTCGCGGCGGGACTCAAACCTTGCCTTCTGTTCTTAAAGCTAACACAAGATTAGCTTTACTTTGACAATTTCTATAACAGAAATTAAAGTATTTGCTAATAAAACAGTATTCCAAGCATTTTTTATTAAATTTTATTATCCTAAGCTCTGTAAACGTTAAAAAATTATTATTTTCAATATTTACAATCCGAAGTTAATAAAAGTTTAAATTATCAATATGTACAACAAGAAATCGTTAAAAAATTAACATTATTAATATGTACAACAAACAAAAAATCGTTAATAAAACATAATGTTATCAATATGTAAAGTAAAAATTGTCAATACTCGTATTCATAATTATATACACTGTAAAATAAAAACTTTTGAATTGTCATTAATGATGTTCTTTAGGCTTCTCATTTTCTTTTCCTTCTGAATCCGCTTCGTTTTCTATACGCTTATCACCATCGTTTCCTTCTAAATCTACCTCCATATGATGTTCTGTACTTTTATAGTCTTCTTTTTCATCTAAATTCCCTTCTTCTTCACTACTCAATTCATCTGAATCTCCATCGCTTTCTTCATAGTTCCGACGCCCAAAATATAGTTTGGTACCTTTATCAAAACGGTAATATACGCCAGCATCGTAACACAAAGTAGTGCCATCACGTTTAAAAATGAATTTTGTATACGGTCTACCATCGCTGTCTGCTGTATACTCTACAGGTTCGTCTTCTAAATCGTTGTCAGGGACAATTCTATAATATCGCTCCCTGTATCGTCTGAACCATTCGTCATCATAATCTTCTGAAAACTGGCCATGTAAATTATGATTTTCATTATTATCATCACCTACGAGCTCGCTTTCTTCAAGCTCATAATCTGAATTCCTTTCATCTATCTCTCTATCCGAATTCGACTCTTCTAAACCATAACAAAGCTCTTCTTCAGATTCCTGTTCTTCTGAAATGTCCTCGGCCTCGTCAAACGAATTCTCTGAATCTTCAGCATCTGCCTCTTCCTCAACTTGCTCGTCAAAAACTTGTTCACTCTCGTCAAAGAATTCCGTTTGAAATGGATCCTCTACCTTATCAACCTGTTTCCACCTGGGACTGCAAATCCCTTCAGTTTGACGTTCGCGGATCATTCTATGTTTTCTGAACCAGTAGGGTTCCGGAACGTCGAAGGAATGATTCCAAACGTAGTCGCCAACTAGACCTTTCTTCGCCTCAGGTGGTCCTTCTGGTGCAATCCTTTGTCCAAACCGGTATTCTGGATTCGACAATAAGTTGTTGATCTCTCGTTCGCGTTCAAGCTCAAGATGCTTGTTGTAGATGATCGTTAAACGTTTGACAAGGTGTTTGTTGGCGCATTTCCGACATTTCCACTTCGATTTCTTCAACGAACGTTTGGCACAAGTTACGTGATAAAGGTCTGAACATGATGTGCATGGTCTTATTAAGGGTTCCTCGCCTTTTTCATGACATTTTGCACATATTTCAATGATTTCTTGAGGCATTTCATCGTGTTCTTCTGATTTATTTTCAGATCCTTCTGAACTTTTAGGTGATTGATTACTTCTAAAATTATATTATTATACCACTTTCTAAAATTTTGTCAAAACTGAACCAAAAACATAATCATACGTAGCTTTAGTCAAGAAATACAAAAACTTAATATTTTAGGTAAAAAAAACTTACTCAAGCCTTCTTCTTTTATGATTCCTCTCAACTTCGCTTTCGTGCTTTCTTTTTCTACTTATTATGTTTTCATTAATTCCGATTCTACTCCCAGCTCCGTATGGTAAATCCTTAAATTTGACTGTTTTTCCGAATTCTTTGGCATCTTCTTGTTTTTTCTTTCTTTTTACTCGAATCTGCGTCAAGATGGCACTCTAAGCAACAAATTAAAAAAATATTCCTTCACAAATGTTAACAGTAATAAAGTTTCAAAGGGCTTACTTCTGGATTGGTGATCAGCTTAACGTACGAACATCGCATGAACAATCTTTCCACCTGTTCATCAAGGTTTCTAACCGGTAAACTCGGTAGTTTATCCAAAGGAGTGTCTTCACTGATCAATTTTTGTTTTTTTAGATAACAAATCAAGTTGTATAAGCTTTGTACAGATCTGAAAATTCTCATTTCATTAATGTAATGCGCAATGTAACTTAAAATAGTTATTCTTGAATTTTGCTTACAATTTTCAGTCTCATCCATCTAAAACCCCGATTTTTAATGAGAAAAAAAGTAATTTTAATATTTAAAATAACAATTTATGACAAAAAGGCTTGAACACAATCTTTCGACCGAGGTAATATTACAAATATATCAAAATTAAAGTTTCAAAAATTATTCCGTAATAACATAACTAAAACTTGATCAATGCTTACATACCTAAAAACAAAAAATATATAATAAACGAGCTTACTTTACTTTCAAACTCCACGTCCGTTTCATGTTCTTACCATGCAATGTGTAGATTCTCATGTAATTATGCATGTCAACTTGGTAGTAATACTCGACTTTATTATAGTCCTTGCCCAACCTTTGCCATTTTGCGTCAGAGTATTTTGCAGAACATTCAATTGTCTGAAAGTTGAGGTCATTAACCTATGAACCTTAAAATTTTATTCACAATGACATTCACTTTGATTGTAAAAAGTATAGCCAATTTAAGAGCAAATGTTGTCTAAAATGACAGTTTTTAGTAAATCTCATAATTAAATATCAAGAAAATTGAAAGAAGACGTCCAAATTTCAATAAACTTCTCAAAATTCGTTTTCATCGATTCCAGTCCAGATAATTTAATTTGAGAACCCTAAAATACTATAAAACTCACCTTCAAAGCTAATTCAAAAGTCTCCAAAAGCAGTTCTATCCTCAGATCAAATGGAAGAAACCGATAATCATGATACGTATACACCTTTTTCAATTTACTCCTAATGAACATGAAAGACGCGATGGCAACAGTAGGTTTATCCATTGCCACAGACATCAACGGTTGTATTAAGTAAGCTTGGAAATTGATCATTCGTTCAGATGCTGAAAGGATGTTTGGATAAACTAACTTATTTTAAATTTAAAGTCACCATTTAACAATTCATGTTAATAAATAACAATATTTAGCTGTTGAAAGACATTCTCATGTGTCAAACACATTATCAAACTAAAACTCCTATATTTGTTACCTAAAAAATAAAAACTCACGTCCTCCATTATCGACAGGTCTTATCATATCCTCAAACTCTTCAAATCCAAGTTGAATATCCAGCAGAGCTCCAAAAGTGTTTAGAAAATGAAAAGTTAGAGCACATTGCGGGTTACAGTGAATTAGTTCATCCGCATCTTCTAATGACATCATGGTATGCCTTTAAATCTGCAAAAGGTATAGCTAAAATATATTTGTTTTAAAAGCTTAAGGTTTATTGGTAGTGCTGAACGGAAAATTATGGATAATATTCAACGAAAAAATCTGAAAAAGAGAAAAAAAGTAAAATTTTTCGAAAAAATTAAAATTATGTTTAAAAATAACTTAGCGAATCGTGCCGAGACTTACTTACCGCATTGTTGTTGAACTGATCAGGCAGGTTTGGGTAATAACGCGTCAATGTTTACGTAAATCTTGATCACACGACTAGACATGAGAAACGGGCCGGGCCGGCCTTGAGCAAAATTTAGATCGGGCCGGGTCTTGGAAAGTCGGGCCGGGCCAGGAAAAAAAGTTTCTAAAATTTTTTAAATTTTTTATTTCAACCCCCGTTTATGTTTTTAGATTTTATTGGGTTGTATGATCCATAAATGATCTAAAAAAACAATTTAAAGCCAATTTTCCGTTTAGTTTTTAAGTTTCAAAATTTTTAATATTTAAAACGGGCCGGGCCTGACCAAAATAAAAAACGGGCCGGGCTTGAAAATTGGGCCCGGCCCGTTTCTCATGTCTAACACGACAATTTATATTTTATAATTTTCAGAAAATAAAAGTTCAACAAAGGTATTTTTTCTATCAATTTATTATCCTTCGTTTTAGATTGTTATATACATAGATACACTAAAAACACAATAGAAGCGACTACGTTATTATGATATTCCAACATTGGTTCTAATAACTTTGTAGAAGTCTATAAAAATTATTAAAGGACATGATCGTTACAATCAACATAAATAACACGTTAAAATAGGCATATTAACATATATGTTGACATTGCCAAAACAAAATTTTAATAAACTATGACAGCTGGCATAATATCTTATAAAAATCAATTGAAACCACCACAAATGATCCAAAATTTTATTTTACATCACTAAATTAATACGATAATAAATGGTTAATAAATGTGAGAAATAATAACTACTGTAAATATTGTAAATCATCAAATAATAGTCAGATCGTTAATGTTCGGAGGACATGATCGTTACAATCAACATAAATACACGTTAAAATATACCTATGTTGAGATTGCTAAAACAAGATTTCAATAAACTATGATACCTGGCACATTGTCTTATAAAGATCTCCTGGTTCTCCATCCATCTCCATGTTTTCCTGATATTCTTGAATCTCAGAAGCTGACTCTGTAGTTACATCGACGTTTTCTTCTCCTGGCTCATAATAAAGTCCAGTCACGTCCATGTTTTCCTGGTTTTCCTCATAACCAAGAACAACTTCATCTGTTCTAACCACGTTTTCTTGGTCTTCTTTACGTAAATCAGATTCTCCAGGTATATCCACGTTTTCCTGTCCTTCTGTAGCATCGGGCACTTCAGATTCTGCAGTTACATCCTTCTTTTCTTGAACTTCCATCTTGTCACAAAGTGATTTACCAATTACATTCATCTTTCTTCGGCATTGTACCTCATCGTCAAAGAAGTTGTAACACTGGTCTTTTTTCACCACGAGCCGTTTTCGAAGCTTCATGTAGACCAATGTCAGACGGTCGATCAGTAACTTGTTATCGCATTCGTGACACACCCACCCATGAGTCTTCCACTTGGTATCAGAACATGTAAGATGAAATCGTTTACCACACTGTACACAAATATTCATATCGGCAGTACCGGTGACGCGTAAATTATATGACGTACCGCTTCCCTTGCAAAGCCAGCATTTTCTGAATGTTTTGTTTACTCCAAATAGTCTTCGCACTTTAAGTTTTGCCGCTTCTGGATTGCAATACTGACACAAAAAATCACGTAGCTTTCCATCACTGCCCACACAAACCAAATGGTAGTATCCATAACACTCCTCGCATACCACCATAGTTTTAACATGCCCTGGTTCTTCGCACTCCTCACAATAATATGTGACACCTTTTTTAAAGAAAGGTCTATTCACGGGCTTTGTTGGGTTAGAGAATTCATCAGAAGGTAGTTTCAAACTAAAAAAATGTCATTGTTTTTAAATTAAAATGCATAAAAACATTTTAATACTTTAATATAAATAATATCCTTTTGTAATGAATACCTTTTTAATTCCTCAACTTACGTGTTGTCCACTTCTCCTTTTGTCTCGTCTTCGCTTTCCTCTGTTTCCTCGTCTTTCTCTTCTTTGTCAACAGGTCCGACTGAAGGTGTTTCTATACTAAACAAACTTTTATTCTCTGAATTAAAATAACTAATACATTATACTTTGAAATACTTTATAAAAAATCCTAATTAGAATACTTACGTCTTCCTACGTTTTTTCCTAGTCCCGTCCTCTTCTTTCTCGTTTTCCTTACCTTTTTCTTCTTCTGTTTTCTTGTAACAATCAGGACACTTGCCAGTCTTTTCTTCAATGACAACACACGAAGTATGGAACTGTTCACGGCAAGATGTACAACAATTCATATCATCCAAGCCACCTTCTTCGTTGCACTTCTTACAGTTACGATTTAGTGCACTGCTTCTTCGCTTCTTCGGCTTTATCTCTTTTGAACTCGACGCCAAGTTGGCGTTTTTGTTGTGACATGACGGCGAGATCACACTAAAATATACATTTTTTCAATAAGTTTAGAAACTTTAAAAGAATATTTTTTTATAAATAAATCCTTTTTAATTGCTTAACTAACCTCCACCTATGCTTTGGCTGTGAATCGTCTTCTTTTTGCTCGCTTTCCATGCCTTTATCTTTATTCTTTACGTCATTTTGAGTTCCTTGATGACTGCCTGTTGAAGTGCGCTTGACACATGTTGACATAACAGCGGCTTCTTTTTGCAATGACAATCTCATACTAAAAACATGTCCTACTATGATACCCACTGGATTCAAAAAACTTCTAATAAAGTAATTTTCTGTAAATCAATCCTTTTTTAATTTTTTAACTCACCTCCTCCTAAGGTTTGGCTTCGTCTGGTCCTTTTCTTGCTCGCTTTCCTTGCCTTTCTCTTCCTTCTTTTTGTCGTTATCATTGACTAATTTCCCCCTATGGTTAGGCTTTGCCTCGTCCTTTTCTTGCTCCCTTGCCTTGTCTTTCTCATCCTTCTGTATGTTGTTATCATTCGGAATTCCTAGATGTCCGTCTGTTGAAGTGCGCTTAGCATTTGTCGAAATAAGGGTGGCTTCTTTATGCAATGCCTGCACACTGAAAAGGTTATACTATAATACTCGGAAAACGACTAATTAAATCATTTCGTATAAATAAAACTCTTTTTGATTCTTTAACTTACCAGTTCTTATGCTTTCCTTGTGCCTTCTGTACTCTTCGAGGTACGTCTAGAACAGGAAAACTAATATACATGTACTTATCGTCACGCAGTTTGCAAAACCGTTTGTCAACTACACCCAACTTTTCCAACTCTTTAACCGGTATTTTCTCATCGACTGGCCCAAGGCGTTTCAATTTATTAATAAAGTTGAGCAAGCCATGGATTGTCCTATAAAAATAATATTTGAAGGAGACAAAAAACTTTAAAACTTCAATATAGGAGCTAACTCACTAAATTTCTAAAATGATTTAAACAAAGAAAATTATACAACTTACGTCGTTACCAGCTTCCAATCGATTACTCCATCAACATTAGTAACACTATATAATCTAAAAGCCCAAGTATGATCAATTTGAAAAAAATATAAAGCTTCCTCGTAGACGCCTATAGGCTGCCTGCCAACTCCAGAGAAAAGATTTTTGTTGGAATGGACTCATCTAAAAACAGTTGATTGAAAAAATAATTACTATAAAAAGTAAATGAAACTACTGTAAGTAAGATAAAACAAATTACTTTTGTCGCATACGTGTTACGATTAATCCATAAGCAAATCTTAAAAAACAATAACAGCTTCTTATCCAAAGGAACGAAAAAGTAATTCTCAGACTCGGTTGAGCATTCAATGTCAGTGTCTTCTTTAATAAACTTGTTGAGAACTTCCGTTGTTGACGCTATATTAGCATATTCATCAGAATTCCGTAACAATTTGGCTTGCAGGTTGCGCAGCTTTTCAATACCTAAAAATATACAGTTGTCAAAACGTTAAATAACGCACTCAAACACTGAATTGAGTACTTTAAATGTATAAATAGGTAACAATTACAAAAAAAAGCTTACAAAATATAAAATAAAATTTGTAACGTTAGATTCCAAACAGTAAAAAACAGTTATCCAACACAACAACTACCTAAATAAACAAGAAAAGAATATAAAAACTTACCCTCTGTCCCATTGAACATGGCTTCAAATTCTTCAAAGCTTAGCTTAACATCAAAAAAACTTCCAAAATAATTGAAAAACTGATATAGTTGAGTATATCTTATATTTGACCGAAGAGCCTCACTGGTATCGGAAGACATCGCGAAGCTACAAGGTTGGAGAACCTGAAAACAATCAAAAGTAACACGTTAAACTAGTTACAGCAACTAAAACACTACAAAGGTCCCTGAAATCGGCGATCACAGCAAACAAGCGGTAGAAGACAAGACAGAATGAACAAAACCTCACAGGACGACGCTCACGGCACACTAACACAAACAATTCATCGATATTTGAGATTCGCGGTTGCACTTTTTTCCGATAAATTTTGTTTTATTTAGTTTTTTGTCGCAAAATTTCGTTTTTTTGCGATATAAATTGGCAGAAAATCGCGAAATGAACTACATAGTTGAAAATTTAAACAACGTTTGGCAAGGATAAGAAAATGGAAAATATCCAGAAACGTAAATTCTATTTTATGATGTTTAGGCAACAAATTTTGATTATCAAAAAGTTAGCCACTTTGAAGCAAAATGGAAAAAGCGTGGTTGTTGCTATTTTAGGAAAAAAATATTATTTTCAGGCTATTTTAGGTAACAAATATAATTTTCAGGCAGTAATTCACCAGTATTCGTTATTCATTGCACTACAGAGCTTCAGAACGTGGGATTTGTCGACTGATCGAAGCGTTTCTTCAAGTTTGTTCCAATGGATCTTTTTTAAGACTTAAGACCTGTTTCACCATTTTTTATTTCGTTTTCACTGGTTTAGTATATTTTATTCACTTTAATAGGTTTTGAAGTACGGAATTAGATATATTATAATTGGTATTAAAGTTCAACGACAAGATTGAAGGGTTAGAGTTAATTCATGCCCATCATTGAATAATATTGTTAGCAAATTTATTATCAAACAATTCAGATAAAAGTCAAAGCAGACGACTGAAATAAGTTCACATTTATTTAGTTTATCAGAACAATATTTACTTTTAGTATACATGTACATGGCATGAAAAAGCCAACGCAACTGTACCGTTTAAAGCTAAATACGACAATCAATTACTAGTGAGACCCTTCATTTGAAGCTTATATATTGTCATCCTCGGAATCTGAAGGTTCTTCGTTTTCATCCCCATCTTCTTCATTATCGCCCTCTTCTTCTTCCCCGTCATTGTCTTCATGATAACTGCTATCGACTTCTTCCTCCGATTCCACATCTGATCCTTCATCTATGAGCGCTTGTTCCAACTTCTCCAACGCCTGATACTTCCTGAGAGAATACCCGGACTTTACCACAATATTGTTCTTCTCCAGAAGCTGTTGTCGCTTCTTTTCTTTCAGTTCATTAAGCCGTATGTATACCATAGTTAAACGGCCCACCAAGTCTTTGTTGGTGCATTTGGGACAATTCCACATACGACTTTTCGTAGCACGATTGACACATGCAAAATGGTACCGTACGTCACAAGTTTTGCATACGTTCAAAGATGTAGCGTCTCCTTTTTCGTTGCACTTCTTACAGTTAAATTTGGCTTCGGTTGGGATGCGATTCAGCCAGCTTGACATCAAATTGGCTTCCTTGTTCTGAGTTGCCGACAATTTCACACTAAATGAGGTTTTGTCATTATTTTTTACGTTATAAAAATTAAATTTAAAAAAAATATAATTAAAATATTTGCTTTGTAAAAAAATGTTTTTTTCATATAACTCCTTTCTGGATTAACTAACTTACGCTTTCAAAATTACTCTGTTGGCCTTTTCCTCTACTTTTTTGGGTTCCTTTGCTTTCTGTTCTTTCACTTCACCTTCCACAGGTTTTTGAGTATTATCTCCTTTCCCTTTTATGTTCGATTTTCGTTTTTTGTCTTTCGTGGGTTTAGGCTAAAACAAGTATTTCATTCATTGTCAAAAAGCAATGTCACTATTATTATACCTACAAATTTGTAACGCTATCATAAACATGTACTATCAAATTGAATGAGTTTAAGTTCTATAAACATCTTAAAAACCCCGTTTCTTTCTTACCTTCTCCACGATTTGTCTAGGGACACCAATATACGAGTATTCCTTGTCGAACAACACGTAGAACTTTTTGTCAGCTCTTGACATATACAGTTCGGGTAGTTCAGCAACAGATATGCTCTCATCAATCGGCTCAGCACCTTTCAATTGATTAATTAACTTATACAAGCCTTGTGTTGTCCTGAACAAAACATTGTAATTTTATTATTTGATTAGTTGAGCCTTTTTGGTTTATGTTAAGGTATTATAGGATAGATAAAACTGACTTTTCGAATAAAAAGAGTTAAAAAATTAATAAATAAAGATTTAAAACTTACTTCGTTTTCAAACTCCAAACGTTTTTGTTGTTAACAGTTGAATTAGTGTATATCCTAATATTTAAATCTCTGTCTTCTTGATAGTAATATTCAGTTTGATCGTAATCTTTACCCAAAGGCTTCCAACGCATTTCCCAACGTCCCATTTTGCCTAATCGCATCTGAAAACATTTCAGTTAAACTTTAGTTCATAAATATAATATTTAGAATATTCGAAAATTAAAATACTACTTTAGCATAAAGTAAAATAATAAGCATAAACAAAAATTATGCTTGAAAAAAATGAAGTAAAATATTAGGTATAAAGCAACCTACTCCAAGTTGTATATTCTTTACATTAACTGCAGCCAAATCACAAATCTCCAGGAATAACTCCATCTTCAAATCCAAAGGAATGTCGAAGTAATCTTTGTATCCGTCCAAGTTTTGAAGTTCTGTGTGTTCTTCAATGAATCTTTCAATAACAACATTGGATTTATTCGTGTAGCGATAATTGTCAAAGGCTCGTCGTAGTAGTTTGGCTTGTAGCTCCAACAACTCTACTGATACTAAAATTAAATATACTATCAATTAAGCGCCACAAATCTACAAACTTGAAGAAAACAGGTAACATTTCGATAGAAATTATTACCATAATAAATAATAAACAAAAGATAGTTTATTTATGACTATGGACGAATTCTGATAAGAAAATACTTGTTAGCTCAATTTCTACAACTATCCAGTACTATGAAGAGTTATAAAAGCCTAGAACATCAAAAACACAAAATAATAAGACTCACTCCCATCGTTGTCTTTGCCCGTCAAGATGGATTCAAATTCTTCAAAGTTCGGTTTAATATCGATAAGTTCTCCAAAGTTATTAAAAAATTGAAATATTTGGGCGTATTTTATGTTTGATCGAACATCCTTGTTGATATCCAAAGCCATCGCGGATTTGCAAGGTTGTTGTAGTCTGAAAACAGTCAAAGATAAATCATAACATTTTTATAACTTTTAAATAAATACGATGTTATTGGAAAACTAAGTTTAAAAACATTAGAAAAGAAATTTTAAGCAACAAATTTTAATAACAACTTATAAAACGGAGACATTAGCAAAAAACAACCTGTAAAACAATGAATATCAAGTAAAACCATGGAAAACAAACAAAAATACAAATTTTAAACCTTTTAAATAAAAAAGGTTTAAATGGACTTTTAAAAAATAATATTTTAATTAATACAAGTTTTTTTAATTTGAAAAGCAGCTACGAAAAAATAATAAAATATTTTAGCGAGTTTGCGCGCAAATTTAAAGGAAATATTGGCGCTTCGTCGTGGGACCGACTTCTTTGGCTTTCAAAAGGTGGAAAGACAAACTTATGTGCATATATGTAACTGTCCGGGCCCGTAACGGCACTCGGTCCTGGTAATTATGTCAGAGTCTGGTAGGTCAAGATACATCTAATGTAGCAAACAGCGTTGTTATCATGGTATGAAAGGAATTTAGATTCTTTCATTTACATATTTTCTTGTCGATTCAACACGTTATCCATCTGTAAGTCGTTAGTAAAATGGTTATGCCAAGGTTCGAAGCTCTGCAAATCAGTGCTGAAAAGGACGATCAACAGCTTTTGATTGATTGTAAGTTTAAGAGTTTTAAGGTTTTGTTGGTATAGATTTAAAACATTTAGATTGTTATAAATTTTAAGTTGTAATAGTAGAATCTAGTTGTAAAAAACTAATGAACTAAATTTTTTGTTAGGTATAACAGGTTTTTACAAAAGTTAAAAAGTTTTAAACAATATAATTATAGGTGCCAAAGGGTTTGCCTACTCGACCTTTCCGCAAATTAATTTTAAGGATGAGAATGCGGACACATTTATCGAGTTTTATGTCTATTTCGCTAAAACTGTGTCCATGTTCCCGAATAGCGTTGATTGGGAGACGTTGATGGCGTTCAAAACTCGTCTTATTCACCTTGGAGCGCCATATCCAGCGTACATGGGTCAAAGAACGTTGCAGATCATGGCCGACTTCCGCAAAGTTTTGGAGAACGAAGACGAGAAGAAGAAGTACGCTGCTGTCTACAGACACTTGAGTGAGATTGATTTGGACTGTAGCTACATGTAGTAGAAGTTTGTTGTCAAAATAAAATGTTTTTTTTGCCTATTCTAAGGATTTACCACCAATGAGTTCTTTACACCATCATTAGTTATAAAACTAAACTATCCTCTAAAGAAGTTCTTACAACTTTATAAAATTCCCGTTTATTGTTATAAAGCTCATGATGCGTTTGAGGTATAAAATACTTTCTTTTTCGTCCATCACACAGAATCTCTTTTTTCGGAATCCCGCTTCTCCAGAGAGTACTTCATGAAGATGGGGATACTGCTGAATTGATGGCTATTTCGCACTAAACAGCGACGTGGCATGCTGGGGCTGATTGGCGGGGTTCCAGACATGAAAATGCCGGTCCGAAAGCGAAGTGCCTGAAATTTGATATTGTTGTGGTGACAAATGTATAATATACTTTCAAAATTTATATTTTTTCACGTATCGGGTTTCATTTTTGTGACCGTGATTTTGAAAATAATATTATAGTTCGATCTTTCGATAGAGTACTAATTGTTTTAATTGAATATTTTAGAGAAGACGGATTGTTTAAAATTGAATTTTTAGTAGTCTACCTCTACTGTACCCTACAATGCCTTGCTTTACCCTTAGCGTACGCTATAGCTTCTGTGCTATAACTCCCTCTAAGTTTATCCAATCTCACCTGTCTCAAGCAGTCCTCTCCAATAAACGTGGCAAAAACTGGCCAAATCGGAAGCAAATAGCTTTGAATCCATCCAGCATAAAACTTCGAAGCGACAGGCAGATACAGGTACTTTGATGGTACTGCTACGAAGTGAGAGTACAAGATGAGTAAAGCAAAAAGTAGATCCATGACCAAGCAAGAAGCTAGCCACATTAGGTCCTTCCTCAACTCTTTCTTCTCATCTTGTACCAACTCTTTTGTCGCGAAACGATGAATAACCATAATCGCAGCACCAATGTAAAGTATGGTCAGAAAGAATAGAGAAAAGCCAATTCCAGCAGCTAGATAAAAGTTCTCTTCACTGCTCGGCTGACTGTACATCCAACGCAGAGCTTCAATTTTGTAGTTCAGGGTGCTATAAGTTCAGTATAAAGAAATGTAAAGTAAATATATTTTGACGTACTGTAAGATAGTTCCAGAGATACAGTAAAAGAATTCAAGCAAGAGTACCGGAAAAAATATAGCTTTGTTCATAGTTAGAGTTTAATCGATAATTGAAAGACTTACCGCTTATCAAAGATGATGTTGATAAACCGCTTGGCTGACAGCAAAAAGGCGCATAACATGGCCAGAAAGCAAACTGATCGAATTGGCAGTTTTTGACTAAAAATGTCGTACATTATAAACCTTATAAACTAAGAAAATTACCTCAATTTAGGGCATGCATACTCCAAAATCCTTCTTCCACTCAAATACAACTGTAACGTAGCAATGGCTGTCATACAGAAGATGAACAAGTAGCCGGGAGAGTCGGTAACCGAATTATTGATAAATACATTGTTCTCGACTGCCAACGTATATGATAAAGCAATCGTATTCACGAATAACAACACCAATACGACGGCAAATTGAATGCTGAAGACACTCAACATATCTGGAGGCATATTTGAGCGACAGTCAGGCATTACAGTCAAGATCACCAACATGGCTACAAGGAACGCTACCCCAATGGCTACGCTGAAGGATGTTATGAAGAGTTGACTCCATTGTGTGTCTTCTAACATGTCTGGGGAAGAGTGGTACTTGAAGTATACTTGTAGTGATTTGATTTAGGCAGTGGTGGATTTGGAAAGGTGAAAGCAATTAATTAGTAAGCTTCTGAAATCCAAATCATCAAGACATTCTTACACTAATATATTGTAAAAATCACTTTAAAAACCTGTTAGAATATGTTATATTACTGTTAAAAATTAGATCGCAAGTTCAAAAGCAAGTATTTTTTAAAAAAATTATGGCTTTCTGAAAGTCTAGTCAAAAAAAGTGACAAGTAGGATATATAACTTGTACTGAAAACACGAATCATAGGGCTTGAAATGCCAGACCAAAGTATGACTTTTTTGATAAAATATTGTTGATAAGTAATAAGTAAAAGTACACAAAGAAAAGTACGGTCAAAATATTTTAAAATTTGAAAAAATACTACCTATAGACATTTTAGCTCTTGTTTAACCTTACCATAGCCTTATTCTGGCTCTAGCTTAGCTTTTTTGACAACCTTTTTTAACTATGTGGCTATATATAAATTACTCTTAACTAAATAAGCGCATTCTTCTAAGATAAATATATTTAGTTAATAGTGAACGTGTAAAAGAGCTAAGCCTAGCCTAGTAAGCTTCTTTTTAAGCCTTGTTAAGAGTGATGACTATAATCTTATTTAATTAAAACAAAAGTTTAGTTAGAGCGAGAGTAAGGCTATGGTCAAGTTATGTAAGAGTTATTAGGTTATTCAAATAATTTTGTGCCTTCTAATCCCGAAAAGTTAGATAGGATAGGGTCAAAGAATTATTTGAACAACATAATCTCTTTAATATATTTTCTAGATAAAAAGTAGATCTAATCAAAAGCACCTTTTCATCTGTTCTATACCCAAATTGACCGCCTAGTCTCAATTACCACAACCTTAAATTTTCTGACCTTAATTACCACAGTCCTATAATTTCAGACCAAATGCATATTAAGACGTTTTTGAAAAATCCGATTTAGCTACCCCTACCACTCACCCTAATCCTAGGCCTACAAGAATGTGACCAACACGATAAAAGGCTTCCAATAGTGTTGCACGTAAAGTGCACCAGGTACGTACCGAATCGAAATTTGAAATACCGCGAAACAGCAAAAGGCCAGCGACAATTGTTCCTCGCCTTGTCATAAATTAAAACCGGAAATTGTTGTTCACGTCCCAAAAATAACCTTTTAATGTGTTTAAAAACCCCTCCGGCTTGTCATTCGAAACGGTACTTTGTATTTTAAGTTATGAGTGTGGAGGGTAGGTAATTTTTGAATTTAATAAATTTGGTAAGGTAGGGTAGAGTAAAAATATTAGGTGATTGCAAAAGTTTCTGGCCGATTTTTGTTTTTACCAAAATTTAATATTTAAAAAAAACAACAATAGCTAATTAACAAATATATGTGTCATTATTATCAACAACCTGTTTCCATCCCTTCAGCAGCATTTGGATTCAACTTCTGTAGAAACTGGAGTTTGAGAATTGAAAAAGTTAGCCCACCATCTCTTGAGGTACTCTCGATTGTTAAAGTGTGTTGCGTTCAGGTGGTTTTGAAGAGAGTGGAACATATTATAATCTGTAGGCACAACATCAGTTGATTACAGTGCATATGACAACACAGTCCAGCCGAGGCTTTTGAGCTTGTGTTGGGTCAACCTTGTTACAAGGGCGCAAGCAGTATCATGAATGAAGAAGATCCGCTCCTGTTTACCATGCAATACCGCCAAAACAAATTTAATTTGTTTACAGTAGACATCCACAGGGATCGTAGTTCCATGTGGTACCATTTCCCAGAACACCATACCTGTTGAGTTCCGGCTAAAGCTGATCATCTTATCCAGTGGGTGAAGATCAGGTTTGAGGTTGATACACCCTGTTCTCCACGTTCAAGCCATTGTTTCTTACTGGTGTGATTAACATACAGTACCCACTCCTCATCCCCAGTAACCAAATTGTTAAGCCATTCGAAGTTCCTTGGGAGCATCAACAAACAAGTGCAAACTTCTACTCGACGTCCAGCTGGTCGCTGTTCAAATCATGTGGAACTTCTTGACCATATTTCCGTAATCTCCCAAGGGCGTGAAGTCTAATTAATGTGGTAGAAGGGTCACACTGAAGCTCTACAGTCAAATAAGTACAGGTTCGTCGGAGGTCTTCTTCGATCAGCTTCAGAAGCTGGGGTTTCTTCAACGCTGATGGTCTACCAGATCGAACTTTTCGGACATGTCAAAGTCACCGTTTTTGAACTTGTGGAGCCAAAATTTTGTGGTGTCGTAAGAGACAACTAAAGGCCCTACAGCACTGCATATTTTCTACGTCGCTCTTGTTGCGTTGCCGTGATTGCGGAATTTGAGAAACAACACTGGCCGAACATGATTGTGTTTCACCTTGATTTCTTGAACTACCGTAAACAACAGAAAGCTTGAACATGCAATAGTTTTTAGTTCTTGGACACCTCTTTATACAGGTTGCCAACAGAAAGTTCTAGAACAGTGCAAAATTTAAAAAAAAATTTTTGAAAAATCGGCCAGAAACTTTTGCAATCACCTAATATAATAAAAGTTATTGGTAAGTGTCGGGCGGGAAATATTGGTCTAGTGGAAGGTTGGAGGAGGGCAGGGCCATGAAAATGCAAAAATACATTTTTTCAAAATCTACCAAAAGTTAACAAATACATAAACAAGACAAAAAACGTGTAGGATCACTAACAACCAGCTGAAAGATTGATCAAGAAGACAGAGCAGTTTAAATTACGTTAATAAACAACACTAAAAACTATAATATACAACTTTGTTTTTAATCGTTTAAACACCCACTACCTAAATTTAAAGATTTTTAGACCTTGTTTTTAAAAATACAGAAGGCCCTCTATATACAGTATTTTGATATAATAAAATTATGGCCTATCATAATAACCTGAAAACAAGGCATATCACCTAATCGTTCAACTACGGTTACTTTAGACTTATATAAAGTAATCACATTAGAACTCCTGTATAACGAATCTTTCGAGATTTTACAATTTGCTCACTATGAATCAGTTTCGTTATAGAGGAGTTTAAATGCACTGTGCAATATTTCACCGGAGATTTAAAAAATGCTCGTTATACCCAACGTTCGTTATTGAAGGGTTCGTTACACAGGAGTTACACTGTAAAAAAGAAGAAGGGATAAGGGCAGTTACAAAAAATGAAGGCATAGGTATGATAACAGCTACCTGTAAACCAAAAAATTTTTCTTGACTTACACTCATCACTCCCCCCCCTAGAAAAATTTTTTTTAGCACGTCTCTGGTTTAGATATCAGCCCTCACAATCCTTTTTCTTACGACAAAACTACCGTTTTGTCATTAAAAAGTAACCAAAAATATTCAAAAGCTCAATATTATAACATAAAATTTTAATAACCATCATGTCTACAACCTTCCCCCTAACAGACCCATTTGTCTATCAAAACCGGCTGAAAAAGTAGTTAATAACAATTAACAATCATACTGCCAAAACGTCACTTGAAACAGGAAAACGGCCGATGAGATCACCTAGCCACGCCCTTTTGGCCAGCGGCATTCCATTGATATCCGAACACGCGACCTGCCATTCATACCTCGCTTTCCGAAAACTGGCCCATCACTTTTGAGAAAAAAGTCAACGCTAAAAATTTTGCAAATTATTTTTTTTTTGAATTTTAAACAACGTGATCTTTGAATAACAATGTCAAAAAGTGTGTTTGTTAGTGTCTTCAAGTTTACAATTTTATTATGATAGTGTGTTAGGTATAGACGGTTTTTGATATTTTAAGGTTGTACAAAGAGTATGGCAAACAATTATTTTTAAAAAGCATATAGAAGAGCATAATAAGTACGTTACAGAAAGGTAGAGTAAAAATAAAGTAGACCAAAATTAAGATATTTTTAAAACCAGGGTCGGATGAAGGTAAAGCAAAGTAAAGCAAAGATATGTCAAGAGTAAAGTGAGAACGGGGATATGATAAGAGCAGGACGAGAGCAAGGTAGAACTATATTTTTAAATGTGCTGGCCCAATTTTAAAAAAAATTTTTTCAATCCTTATATACAGGGCGCGCCAAAAGTTCTGTTACACATTTTTTAATCAAATATTTATTTTAACAACAAATAATATAACAAAAACAACAACTAAAAATAGTAACATATAGTACTAGTTATAACATAGCCAAGTTTATTTTTTGTCGTCCCGGTCCCATCTAGATTTTCTTCGACCCATTTAGCCCAACCCTTCAAACTCTAATCCGTTTGTTTTGCTGATCTCTTCAACTACAGTAATAAGCAGTTTCAACGAATTCGTTGCAAAATTCCTGACACTTTGTTCGAGTGTCAAAAACGTGACAAATTAAAACTGATTGATAAACGGAAATCAACGTTTGGTGAAGGTCGGGACACAAATCTTGACCATAAGTCAAACACCTTGTAGTACTTTGAACATTGCAAAAAATTTTGAAATTTAAAAGCACTTTAAAAACAATTTTTTTTTAAAACTTACGTTGAACATCCTTATCCTTGTAATGAACCATATGAAAGCTTGTTAGGGTTACAAAAATCCAATACTCTTTGTAACATCTCGTTACGTTTTCCAATAACTCTTACTGCCACTATATTTAAAAGGCTAACTTTTAAACAATATAACTCAATATAGTAATCGCATATTAAAAGCAAAATTAAAACAAAATCTTCAATAAAATAGTTTATTAGAAGTCTTATTAACAAAGAAAGCCGTGGTGTAGATAATGACAAATTTACAACGCAGTGATAACCGGGCATACACGTAATACAATTCAAGGATGAGCGGTAGATCTATTCAAATTGAGTATAATAAGTTAAATATGGCGGCCGGAGAGTTTCCAGACCAGAGATTGGCAGCGGATATATTCGGCAAGATGGGTTGTGAGCTGAAAATATATTATGTTAGTGTTAATGTGGTATGAAAACTTGTAAAATGACATTCTTTAGGCTTAAAACATCCTTTTCTTACAATAAAAAACTTTTGAACTCTATTTTATGACCTAAAACAGTATATGCAAGCTATAATTAAAGACTTTCCATAATTAAAATGATGATTTAAGCTTACCTGTTCAATAGAATCCTTTGACATTTCAAAAGTTAATCGTTCTCGTGGCGTTTCTTCTGGATGAGCATCTGGAGGTAGTATTCTAGACACAGAGATCATAAAATCTCCATGATATTCACCAAAGTTGACCAAGCGATGAAAAGGAAATGATCGGATTAGATCCTGAAAATAGTTATTAATAAACCACTAGACGAGAATCGTATTTTACAAAAAAATATCTTTATTATAGATAATGAAGATCATTATTAAACTAAAAAAACCTTAAAAATATTTCCAAACTTACCATTTGCTTCTCATTCAGCAGATGAACACCTTGATCAGTAAGAGCAATCAGGATCTGTTCTCCCTTTTGCATCTTCATTTTGGCTGTCTTGATGAAAGCTCCGAAGAATCTCCATCTTCTCAACACCGTCAACAACATCTTCACACACTCAGCTAGTCCAACTCCATTCAAATCCTTCCAATGGTGTTCTACTGAAGCCTTCAAACTCCTCATATTAACCACTTGAAGCATTTTGGCAGGGTAAAATCGTTCCAAAGATCGATTCAGCGGAGTTTCAGGATTCGGAGGTATGTCACCATAACATAATTGAGCGTATAAAGCTGTCATTTCCTCTGCCAACTCGTTTGACATAGGGACGTAGCCTTTGACGATTTCTTCCGCCATTCTGTAGCACAAGAAGATCTTCTCCATGGGGGTTTCTTCATCAATCAGATTCGACCAGTAATGGCGAAGACGGAGACGAAGTCGGATAGAGCAAGAATCGTCTGTTACGCGACCACAACGCATATCTTTTACTTGCTTTTCCCATGCTGTTAGGCAGTCGCATAGCTAAAATAAAGAAATTTAGATCGTCCTTAACATATATTATAAAATAAAATTAGTAAAAACTATGCTTTGCTATTTGAATATCAGAAAAAGCGTTTTTCCTATCAAAATATTTTAAAAATTTGAGTTTTCTACCTAATATTATAGCAAAACCTAAAGAAAACCTAACACAATATATGCATCTTCCCTAAAAATACATATTCTAGTCCAAAACATCTCCCTAAACCAAAAAACACAATACAAGAAAACTCTTACCTTTTGTTTGTTCTTCAACAATATGTAGTTGTCTTCATCGTTCAACTCCTGGGCATAAAGCGCGTATCCACTCAACAAAGCTGGCCTCAATCCCAACTTCAAACACAAAGAACTCAGACATTGCCCGATTTCGGTGCAACCATCGAATTCAATGACCTGAAAGTCTCCTGAAGGTAGTTGAATCGGTACTGAGAAAGGTAATGTTGTGCTTGTAGGATCTCGGGTCAATATTGATATAGCTTCGAGTTTTGAGGGTCCTTCGCGTCGGTCGCCAGCTTTCTGCTTCTTTACTATCAAGTTTTCACAAAATTCAGCTAGTTTGGAGTTTTCATCACTAAAATGACAGGTGATAACAAGATTAAACAAAAATCTGTAGATTCCGATAAAATTCCCAAAATATGTGACACTTCGTATGCTTTTCGGATACTGTTTGTTACACTTCGTCACAAATAAAAGATTTTGATGTAAACTATAAAAAAAGTGGTATAATTGTTATTTTGGTCGTAAACCAAAACAGTAAAACGTTCTTTTCTTATTTTAATTTAATTTTTTTTATTTTAGGTAATAATAATCGATCTTGACTTACCCCATGACCTTCCATCGCTGTAAATGAGTCCGTAGCAACCAGAAGATGCTGTATTTGCTTGGTAAATACAATGGAATAGCCATAGTCAACAACTTCCACGCCTGTACGGAGGTTTCCATCTTTGAGCAGGTGAGGCGGATCAATTGAGCGTATAATTCATCAATCAGAGGGGTGTTTTCGAGGGCGGTGGTTAATATGTTTTGGCTGAGATCAACGTGATATTGCATGGCAATTGGCCGCATCAGGACGGATGAAAACAGGTATATGGCCATGTCGTTTTCAAGAGCTTTCTTTTTCAGACGGGGTTCTTCAATGGTTATTAAGGTATCTGAAGGTTTTTCTTCTGGTTTCGTCATGAGAACATCGTTCCAAAGGTCGGATTCTGAATTCGTGTCTAACATGAGTCTTTGGACTAGAACTTCGAATGCCGTGCCACACATTGAGGGGTCTTTGGCTGCTAGTTTTAGATAATAAAGCCATTTGTCCTTCTCCTCTACGTTCTTCAACATAAGGTAGACTGGATCGGCGTTGGAGCCTTCGATGCAAACACTGTAGTCGGCTTTCTCCGGCTGACTGGAACTGGAAGACCTTGAAGCATTTGAAGTGCCAGGTATTTCAGGCATTAGTTCAGGATTGGCTTCGTCACTGGAACCACTGTATTCATCACTAGATCCCTTCGACTTCTCTGTGATGACACAACCTTGTAGTGCAATATGTGAACATGGTAACTTTTCATCAACCTTCTTAAAGAACAACAATTTATGACCAATCAGAGCAGCAAAGTATCTTCTCTGATGTCCATGCTTGACCTTTGTTACCCATCCAGAGAGGATGGCTTCAGTTCGTGTGGCTTTCTGACTCAGCTCGTTGATGGTGAGTTGTCGTATGTTCTGGCTGATTACTGTAAACCATTCTTCTGTCACTTTGTCGTTTTCAGCATGATACTTGAGCTTTTCATTCTCTGTGCTAATTTGAATACCATGAGTGCCAGTTTTGCTTGTTATTCGAGTAACAGCTGTGACATCCGTGAGTTGGATCGTTCTTGATGGTGGATCGTTCTTCATTTTGTCTTTTACTGTGCGGTAGAAATCGAGCTTATCGTTTTTAAGTACGATGTAGCGTCTTTTCAGTGAACGGAGGCGATTGTCTGACATTTGGGTGAGGTAACCTGCTTTTTCCATCTAAAATAGCATGGTTAATATAAAGTTTTGTTAAGTTTTCCAAATTTTTAGTTGGAGATTGATCAATAATAGCGTTTTTATCATAAGTTATTTGTAACTTATATCGAACATACATTTTCATGGGTAGGAATCAATGAAGTCCGCATTCCCAATGGCTGATGTAATGGTGAACATCCAGCACTACTCAGCACGACGGTGTCTCTATTCCTGGGCAATGTTAATACCCGATTCGAGTACGGTGAGTTGTGTCGTGATACGGGGGTAGAAGCATCCGGAGGTAACGCGTAGTCGTCGTTGTCAGTTGGTACTGCTGGAGCATGAGTTCGTGCCATACCTAATGGTGGAGATTCGGCGAGAGGTGCTAGTCCAGTAGCTGAGTTTCCGGAGCCTCTACCAAGCCCGGAATCTGAATCACGACCAGGTGGAGTGAGTTGTTTGTTGGATGGATTAGACGAGGAGGAGTGATGTTTTGATAGACGAAGGTCGCCATTGATCTGAAGGTGTATATGTTATGATTTGGTAAACAAAATGGTAGGGAAATTCATAATAAAGTGTGACAATACTATAAATCAGTTTATTTGTGATTAAAACCTTGTCCAATTTTATGATTTTTGACTAATTTTTGGCTAAAAAAGCTGTTTTGCCATGGATAATATAAATTTTTTTCAATAATTTCAAAATGAAATTAAAACTCACTGAATTTTTCGAAAACTTGGCAGGACTCCGATCCCTGATACTCGATAAATCACTGATCCTTTGACTATCTCGCGGTACTAACGGCGAGAACGAGCACGGTGAAGCAGAACAGTTACTTTCAACCACACTCAGACACTTTTCAGCATTTCTGTACAGCTTCTGCTCCCATTGTGAAGCCGGTTTGTGTTTAGGAGGTTGAGGTTGTGTTCTCAGGATGTCAGAGTAAAGATAAGGCAATGAAGCTCTGTTAACTTCTGTTTCTTCACTTGGCGTGTAGTCTTTTACCGTGCAAAAGTCAGATAGGTTGACATAATCAGCGTATCGTGCGTCTTTCTTCAGAGTTTTTGAGTTGAAATTGTCTGTATTGATAGCTGGTTCTTCTCCAATGGCGTGGAAATTGTCGTCAGTTTCATCGTACACAATTTCGTCAAAGATTTCGTCGTCAGAATCGCCGTCATCCTCTGCGTCGTACGAGTTCAGTGAATCTCGTTCGATCTGCTTCTTGATCTTAGACATGGAAATCATTTGGCCGCCCATAATCGGCCGCTGCTTCCTCGGCTGAGGCACAGGTTCGGGATGTTCGCTTGATGGTGAAGATTCTGTACTCGAACTCTGATGGTATTGGCTGTTGATGGAGCTTTGAATGCCCTGAGTCATGGTTAAGGTTGAGGTACCGGAAGAGTCCAGGGTTTTGCCAAGACTTTTGCGAGGACTTCGTTTGGCTCCAGATGAACTGATGGCTGAGGTGGATTGGGTCATCAACGTGCGGAAGGATTCGGAAACTATGTGAAGGTTGGGGTGTTGGAGGATGTGACGATCCCCGAGTGTGTCGTCTGAGGTCAAGCCACTGTCATCCGACGTTCGGGCTTGCGACTCCATCCACGTGGGGAGGGTACCCTGAAAATAGGATTTTAGAAGTTTTGGGGGTTGGAGAGACATAAGAGCGATAAGGTAGAGGTAATGCAAAAGAAGGAGGTGCTGTTGTATGTTGGGTATATAGGGTATGTAATGTAAAGTAAGGTAGGGTAGAATATGGTATGGTAAGGCAGGGCAGGGTAGGGTAGGGTAAAGTAGGGTAGGGTCGAGTGGAATACAGTAGGGCAAGGTCCAGTATCGTAAAAGAAACGTAGACGATGTTATTCAAAATCACCATGCCCTGATTCCAAACCCCCTTCCCTACTGTTTACACCAACCCAAATAAAACGGCTAGGTCATGATGAATAATATTTTCAAAAACACCACCTGCCCACTCGGTTTCACGCAGCTTATCATCGACGCAAAAAACAACCCCCCCCTTGAATGCGGTGTTAGAAATCCGGAAAGAAGATGGGCTGGTTAAAGAGGCGAAGGCGCGGGAATCCCGCTGGGAGAAAGTTCCGAACAATAGGGCCTCAAAACACTAGACACTGTTATCGTTCCGAATATCGCATCCCAAATTATTTATTCAAAGCCGATTGCGGCGGAAAACCGCCACAAATGGCCGGAGGGGTTTTTCGAGGGAAAAGTTCAAAGACTTTGACTTGGAAATGATAGGGAAGATTGACTTTGGAATTCGAAAAAAATGGTTTTTGGTGATTTGGAAAATGGTTTTGGTGTTGAGGATGATAAAAAAATTGGCATGCCATAGCATAATTTCAAAAAAAAATTTTTTTTTTGAAAAAATTGTTTGAGAAAATTTGAAAAACCTTCGGTATGATCAATACATGACGGGTAAACTTGGTCAGTAGAGGGGCCGGTCAATTTGTGTATAATTTTGCCATTGATTTAAAAAATTGAAAAACCCGTCGATTTTAAACAGTTTTTTTGGTTCCCAAACTTCAAAAACCGGTTTCTTTGAAGCCTTTGAACTTTTAGAAAAAAGAGGGTTTAACTAAATTTGGCTCAAAACTAAAATTTTTTTTGAATAGATTAGCTCAGAATTGTCATTTCTAGATGTAATCTATGGTATGTCAGAAAAGTGACATGAAGATGATGACTTTTTAAGCTCACAATTGACATAATCAACGTTTTAAGCTTTAAAATGTTTTTAAAAGTTTTAAATTTAAAATTATTACTTAAAGCTTAAAAATACTAGTTTACAAGTTAAAAGGATACTGTAACTACATTACAGTAAATTTTTTTTCCTTACGTCTCTCATAGTATAATATGTGAGAGAGTGAAGGGTAAAAAAGTATAAAGGTAGCATTTATTCTCCCAATGTTACCGTAATATTACTGTACTAAAAACAAAAACATAATACTTTAGTCATTTCCCTTTAGATCCGTCACTTTTCCGACCCACTCCAACAATAAATGTCATAAAAAAAAACCACTATTTCCCCACAGAAAGCGACTATGTCACCAAACAAGCGACTATGTCATCAAAACCCGACCTTGTCATAAAGAATATGGCCAAGAAAACGTGCCAAACTCCACAATTAAAAAACAATGACCATGAAAGTGTGGCCGCATGAATATTTTATGAAACAAAAAATGCCCGGTGAGCACGATACCCGCGCCCCGGTCAAAGGGAAACGAAAATAAAAAATGAGCTCGCCTGGGGGGTTTAAAATTTTTTTTGGAACAAAAAAAGAGAAAAATAAATGGATATTGGAGCCGGAATTGTGCGGAAAAAAAAATAGGAAATAAAGGGAAATTTGCAAGATATTGACGTAGTGGTAATGCTTGGGGCATAAGATAGAATTATCTTAAAGGTTGAGTAATGATGCCATTAGGGTTGAATAGGTTGTAAAGAGAAATACCCTACCCTACCCTACCCTACTTTACCCTACCCTGATTTATCATATCTTATTCTACCCTTACCTCCTCCTGCCTTACTATACCATTCTCTGTCCTACCAATCCTGACGCTTTTAACTTACCAGACTGTTCCGTATACTGCTCTGTCCTAACCCACCTTATTCGTCTTAACCCTACGGTACTATTATCCTATTTCTACCCTCGTCTGACATCAGCTTCATCCTGCTCCTAACAAATCTTTCTTATTATCCCTATATTAGGCCTACAATCATAATTTCGAATGAAAAGTGAGTAAAAAAGTAAAAATCTATGTAAAAAATCATATTACAAAAAAACTTACAGAAACGCTCTGTGAAAACAATGTAGACTGTCGCCACTGTTTGGTCTTCTCGGCGTATGAAGCCAAGGCTTTTAGCTCATTCGCGCAACGTTGGTTCTGTTGCCGCAACCGTTCGTTTTGGGCTTCGAGCTGGAATTAAATAAATTACCTTGAATAATGGCGACAAAAAATATTTGAAAAATCGACACTTTCGAAACGTGATTGACATTACTTGACGTATAGCGGTAAAAAGATTGCGGTATTTTTTCAGTTTTAGTTTACTCAGAACATTTTAGGTTATTCAAATAATTCTGTGCCCCTAATTCTAAAAAATAGCTTTTAGAGAGGGCACAAGATTATTTGAACAAACTAATAATAAAAAAAGATTTTTTTGATCTTATGGTGCCTTGAAAGCCTGAAGTAATATTAGTACATTCATATAATCACTCCTAAATATTCGTAACTAAATATAGCCTCTAACCTTGTAGAGTCAATAAATTTAAGGAAATTTAGCGAAAAAACTGTTAGCATATTGCCATAGGGGCTAAGCGAGATATGATTAATGGGCGTATGACGCCAGGTGGGACCATCGTTATTATGAGTCCGCCTGAGAATATTACTCACTCGGGTTTACAGACTTCAAATTACAATTTATTGTTACAAAACACGGTTTTTACAAATTGTTTTGAATTTAAATATTAAAAAAAAATTTTAAAAAATGTTTTTTTAGAAATTTTAACAGGTTTCCCAACCGCATCTAGTCCTACTTACAATATAAATAATATAATAAATTGTTCAAATAATTCTGTGCCCCTAATTCCAAAAATTTTCTTAAATTATTTGAACGATTTAATAGTACCATTAAAGCACCACAATCACTATTAAAGGTACCGAACTTTCAAAAACCCAAAAATAGAAGTAAACTTCTAGAAATATAAAAAAATGGATTTCGTACTATAACATATTACGACGACATTACAGCCAAAAAGAGTAACCCAAAACTTCAAATGCCAACTTTCTAACATAATCCTAACCGCTTTATTGTCCTTCAGATGCTCGAATGTCCGACCGTTTTTGTTTTTTCACACCCAAAATAGCCAAAAGTTCTCATATTAGTCTAACAATAACAATTGAGGGTGGGGTGGGTAGAAATATTAAAAAATTTTTAAAGGTATTAACGAAATAAAAACTTACAAGCCCAACATTTAAAAAAATGTTCAGAGAATCACCTCTCCCTCACCGGGCTTTACAATTAACAAGGAAAGTGGCTGGTTCTGATCGAATTTATATTTTTAAGCCAATCAGAATTATACCCGCCCCCCTCAAAAAAAATTCGAAAAATGTTGAACCTGGTCCTCCCTGTGGAATTTTGGAAAAAAATTTTGCAAAAAATCGGTACATATAGCAGCTACCTGTGCCGATTTTATCGACCTCTGCCCTTAGACCAAAAGTTCCCCCCTGGCCCTGGTGGTACTATAAAGAACAATATCGATAGCACAAAGAATTTATTTCAAAAATTAGAGCTGATTCTGAGTGGGGCAGGTGGAGTACCTTTCTTATTAATTTTTTTTGGAATGGTGTGCGGGAGAAGAATGTTGCTACCCTCTTCTACCCTAAAGCCTTATCGGTAAGGCCCAAACCTAAAAAAATTTTCACCCTTCCCACTCAGTTCTTCTACTTTCCTTGAGAATTGTAAACGCCCAAAAACCCCCTAATAACCATATTACTCAAAAATAAATAACCATATTACTCAAAAAACAATACTAAACCCTTCCTCAACCTTCCCCTCCCTTGCCGCTTCACCCTCAAAATTATACAAATTATCCGAATGAACCCCTGTTTCTTTTCTCAAAAACAATACCAATTCCCGGAGCAGTGGCTACATAGTAACCGGGGAGTAAAAATCGACTGAAAGTCGTAAAAATTGAGTGCCGAAAAGAGCGGCGAGAAACATAAGCGCGGGTCGTATTAAACCGGCGGAGAAATGCCTCCGGTCTTCACATCTGGATGCCGTTCCCAAAAATTGAAAGCATCTGGGGGGAGGGAGGGTTCATGAGGATGGAGAAGATGGGTTTCAATTTTTATAAGTATTAAGGTTTATAAGATTAGGGAATGGTTTGCAAAAAAGGCATGGTTGGGGCTGGGAGTAAAATTAAAAGAAACCTACTCAACCTGCCTTACTAAGAGTTTGCTCAAAATTTTTACATGAATTCGTTGCACCACCAATAGTACCCATACTAAATTTTAGCTCGCACTTTTAAGTTTTAAAATTTAAACATTTAAGTTCCTAGCCTTGGCGATAGGAGCCTTCCTTGTTAAATGCATAATTGGGTAAAGAGGAGTTACGTTTTGCATTCTGATTTAAAACTTACAGTGTTATACCCTATGAATGAGTTTGCAAGCCAGTTATCCTTGAAAAAATACAATTTTTGGCCTACTGTCCTAGGTAATCGTTTAAAATTCATTTTTTTTAAATTTAGGCATAGCCTCCCTGTTTTTACCTGCAAGTTTTCAAAAAGTTTATGTATGAAAACCTCTCAACCCTTGTCCAAAAAATATACAATGTGTTTTTAAAAGTACGTTTACGTTAACTCATTAGCAGCTTTACAGCTTCATTTTACAGCCATTGAAACGCATGGATGATTACTTTTGTTTTTTTAAAGTAATTATTAGTACAGTTATTTTTAAACCAGCCTTACTGCGTTTTTGGAGTTCAAAGCTATTAGCTTGTTCAAATAATTCTGTGTTCCCTCTCGAAGCAAATTTTCATAAGTAGAAGACACAAAATTAACCCCCGCCCAGAAAAAAATCTTTCGAAAAAAAGTGAATGTGGTCCCGCCTGTGGATTCTTTCGACCCCCGCCCCCAGACCAAAAATTCGCGCTTGGCCCTGCCTGCAGGCTACAGGCTATTCTTATCTCAAAGACCAACCAATCCCAAAAACTTAGAAATAATACGAGTTTGAGCCACAAAACCAATTGGAATAAATTTAATGCGCAACTTGTTCCTTGCCCCTTAAATCTCATCTCCAAAGGCAATAAAAAACGACTGTCGTAACCACATTTCTCTTGTCGAGGTCCCATGTCCGATATGAGCGAAAAGAGAACAATCCCAAAATGGCTGGAATCAAAAAAAAGTTGAAGGCAGTGACAATGCTGATGGATACAAATCCTCACTTTTTTTGGTGAAAAAAAAACTAAAACCGATTTAAATTTGCATTTAAAAAAATTTTGAATATAGAAAAATTTTTAAAAACATAGAGAGGACCGTTTCACAAGAAAATAAGTTTAGCCATATTATAAACTGCCAAATTAAAAAAAAATTCTTTTCAATATATAAGACAAACAAAATTTTTCAAAATTTTTTGCATTTTTTAATTGAACGAAAGGAGGACTTTTTCACAAAAAATTAAAATTAAAAAAAAACTAGAAGGTAGAAGCTTCTGTTAGGATTAAAAAAGGTTTACTAGGCCAGGCTAAAGCAAATTTGAAAAAGATTGGGCCGAGTCAGCACACGTGGGCCAGAAAACCGGACATAAATTTGGGTTCAGCCCCAACCCTCTTTACAGGTCTAGCTTCTGTAAGTTAATAAACCTTGCCTCCGCCTTCTCTAAACTTTCTTATAAAAAATTTTCATCCAATGCTACCGATTACGTTTTTTAAATGATTCTGTGCCACAACCCCAAAGATTTGCTCTGAAAGAAGGCACAGAATTATTTGATTTATCTATGTTTCCTTCAACCCAAACTCTTATCCTTTCCTAAAAAACCCTCAATCACCTTGTCCATCTCTGCCAAATACCCATGCCTCTAACCTTTTTTACCCAAGCCTCTCCGTGCACCCCTCCCCCACCTCCCGCAGTGCCGTCAAAAATGGTTGGAGAAAGTTAACAACCAACAAAAAACGAAAAAGCTGTAGGAGGAATCAAGGCCGCGAGCATGAAGCCCATAAATGCGGCGGAAAAACATTTTCTTGGCGCACTCTCGCGCACCACGAAAATCAGCCTTGGAGGGGGGAGGAAGAGGAGGGGGGGAGGGCGATAAGGATCGGCCCGACGATGATTCACAGCCGTTTAACGCAGTTAGTATGCTAACGCGGAGAGCCGTGTAAATCAAAGTGGCAGGAAATGTAAAGTGATTGAGCGGGAGAAATTTACAGATGGCTATGGTAAAAATTAAAATTCCAAAATTTCCGTGGTGATAAAAATAAAAAGTTTAAAAAATTAAAAGTAGGCCATAATAGACCTGTAAAAAATAAGACTGTAACCTTGGTTTTAAGCCTCTGCCTCTGAGAAATGTGCCGGCCCGGCCCTTCCGAAGTTCCTTTGACCCAGCTCGGTCTTTTTCGAAATTTTTTCAGTATTGGGCCCCTTTTAAGGTTTGTACTATAGCAAAAACCGAATCTCAAAGGATTGGCTATGTTAAAATTAAATTTAAAAAATTTCGACTTTTACCACCCCCCCCCCTCCCCGAAAAATAGAAAACCCAAAGCCAATGTGTACCAACATGGTATCTTAAAAACTAAAAAGGCCTTGAACGTCAAAAATTTTAACATATTTTAGCCACACATCTTTTTAAAAACAATATTATGTGTACAAAACTGACAAAAGCGACTGATAGCTGACATTTGGAAAGAAACGCATAGAAAAGTGAGTTAAACAAATGCAAATTCCATGTAAATACAACACAAATATTAGCTGAAGAGGTGGTCATGGTCTATATCATTTGAAAAAGAGCAACAATCTTTTTGGAACAGTAGGTAGTTTTTGAATCTCAGCAAGATAAGTATGAACAACAAATTGTAAAAAATTTTAAAAGTGGTTTCAAAACCTTAAAAATGAGTTTTTAGGCTACAAAATCACAAAAATAAACCAGCTTATCACTAATTTTTATTATTTTTCAGCTTTTAAACCTCAAAATTTTAATAATACTTTTAACCTTACTGCTAAAAACCCTCCCCTCCCAACCAAAACACACAAAATGTTCGTATAATAAAAGTCATATGAAGGCCCCTTTACTATATACAAACACGAAAGTTATCATGAATAATATTCGAATAGCCTCTCTTTTATACAAAAAGTGACTTTAACCCAAACAATTGCAGAAAGTGACCCAAACTCTCGGTTTTTTTGTTTTTCCCCTCAGGCCAATGATAAATTGGCATCCGAAAAAGAACCAAAAACTGCTCAAGTTGGGCCTGACAGTCAATGCGCAATTAAATTGTTTGTTAGGGTAGGGTTGAGTAAAAAATTTTGTTAGGGTGAGGGTAGAATAAAGTTTTTTAAGGTAGAAGAAGCAGATTGGGTAAGGCAGGGTAAAAAATTTATAGTTGAGAATTGTAAACAGATAAAGCAGGCTAAGGTAATGTATTATTAGATAAGGTAGTGTAGGGTAGGGTAGGGTAGGGTAAGGTAGGGTAGGGTAGGGTAGGGTAGGGTAGGGTAGGGTAGGGTAGGGTAGGGTAGGGTAGGGTAGAGTAGGGTAGGGTAGGGTAGATAATTATTGCAAAACCTCATTTCCTGATACAGAAAGTCATCATTATCCCCTAAAATATTACACATCTTCCTCCCAACATCCCTATAAGATCATGTAATAACATAAACCATTACTATCTTCCCAAACCAGTCTCCTTTAAAAACAAGTTCATATAATACAATAAGCAAACGAAGAATTTGAATAGAAAATTTATGTCGCGGAAACGATTGCGCCAAATGTTTGCGCAAGCTCCAAGTCTTGACCTTTTCATGCCTAGTGTAATATAAATAATGGTGAAGAAGATGGAATAGATACTATTATATGCTCAAGAAGTGACAGGTTCTGTTGAAGAGGGTGTTTTTATAGAGATTTAAAGGCAGAGTAAGGTAAATTTTTGCAGAGTAGGATAGAGTAAATAAGCAGGGTATGGTAATTTTGAGATATTTCTAAAAAAAAGTAAAATACGGCACCAATAACTACAGAAAATAAATTTTCACCTAGCCACCCCTATCAAAATAGCCAAACAAAAGAAGCCAAAAGAAGACGAATTGGGTAATAAAAGGCCCCTTAATCAAAGAAAAACGCAAAAAACAGCTAGCCAATCGGTCAATATAAACAATTGTCAGTTTGAAACAAAAGTCAATTAACGTCATGACCATAGCCACTTTTTAATTTAAGATTGGAAAACTTTTAATGGGCTTTTAATCGGTTTAGATACATAACCAAAGACTAACAAAGCTTACTTACAATTTTGTTAGTAACTAGTACCTAAGGAGAGAAAGTTTTTTGACCAAAAGTAGGTCTGGCTCACAAACGTTTTTTAAAAATTCTTAAAAAACGTTGGCCAAAACTGCTTGTTATAACGTAACTTTGAATTTTTAAAAATTTTTCTTTCCTTGTCCTCCTTTCTTCCATCGTCCTAAAACTTATCAAAAAACCCCAAGCCAAAACCCAAAACTAAACCCACCCCAAAACCCAAAAAACTCCTAAAATCTCTAAAAAACTGTACGCAACTTGACCGTTACAAACCTCCCCCACTCGCTCACCCGCTTTTAAACCTTTAACTCTCAAAAGGCATTCGAAACGAACTCGCAGCTGTCCACATCAGAAAGGCCAAGCAAGAACGGCGAGAACAATGTCGTGCGGGAAAGTGTAATATGAATAGCGATAAATTGGGAAGAAACACAGATCGATTGCTTGGGCATTCATCAACATGTTATATGAGTAGGTAATGGTTGTAATGGAAGAGATAATGGATACTTAAGACTTTTAAACGTTTTAAAATTTTGAAATTTTTTGAATTTTGTCTTAGTCTAGACCTGTGAAGGGGGCCATGGTTTAGATCCTCTCAAGCCTACTTGTCCCGGCGTGGCCTCTTCAATGTTTTTATACCCGGCTCGTCCTGGGTCTAAGCTAAGCTTCGCTAGCTTCTTCACAGTTCCAGTGTAGTCCCATTGTAAACCCAAAACCTTTTAAAAATTAACTTTTAAAGCCCACATCTGCCCCTAAAATACCGAAAATCTTAGGAAATTTTAAAATACAGTAAACGAAGACTCCACAACGTTGTGACAAACAAAAATACCCATGAAGTCCCCATGCAGATCTAAAGGAATGAGCAAAGTGCAATTGGATCGGAAGACGTCCTTCAGAGACAATGAATGGACAAGGCTTCAATTAGACAATTGACCTTAATTCGGCTCCAAAAACATTACTCCAGATGAGTTTGTGCTTGGATTTGGGGTGAATTTGCATTTTTAAAAATAATTACAAATTAAATAATTATTTTTTTAATTTTTAAAAAAATTAAAATTTTGAATAAAAAATTCAAAACTTCATTTTTTATTTCAAAACCCCAAAAACATTTCACTTCCAAAAATATTTTCAAACCCACACCCACATCGACCGGTCAATTTTCTAGTCGATATTGTACTCGTTTCCAAAATGTCGACCATGTCCAAGACCAGTAGCATCATGACGAGCAAGAGCAGTGTGCCCAAAGACACCAAGATCAAGTTCGAAGCCCCTGAACAGACCAGGAAGACTAACGATGCTCCACCAGCACCAGGTCAAGTCACCGCGGAGAAGGTGAACTTTGAGATCAAGGATGAGGTGGAGTTGTTGCGTTCTGGAGTCATGAACAAGCACGGCGAGCACGTCAAAGCGATGGGAAAGTGATTTTACTAATTTTTTGTTGAGATTGGTGACAATAAACGTTGATTTTGACAGTTTTTAATTTCGTTACTTTGTTATTAGTTTGGTACTTATTATGTATTAGATGGTTAGTACTGTTTAAGAAATATTTGTATTTTTTACAATTTTTATGCCATTTTAAACCCTACTAGAACAAAAGCCATTCTTTTCATGTCAATTCACTTCAAAGTAAAGAAAATAAAAAAATTAAAAACTCGTAGCTTACCTCCTGAAGTCGTCGTTTGACCCATTTCTTGATTTTGTCCGATTTTTCACTCAATTGGATATCTTCAGGGCTTACTGGCTCACTTTTGGAAGCGGCTTTGGTCGATAATGTTGGCGTCCGAGCCGGGTTTTGGGCTGAATTTGAATGTGGCACTGGCATTAATTTGAAATAAAAGGTTTTATCATCTGAAAAGTATAATTTTAATACATATTTTGTTTAAAAAAATTTACAAACAAAGGAAAAATGACGCAAAGTAGGTTAATATCAGCAAAAAAATGTCACGAATGGCTTCGTATTGTTAAGTTAAGCTTAAAATATTAAGGATAATGTAAGCCTAGAACAATCAGAAAAGTTTAAGCCTAAAGAATAATTAAAATTTTTTTATGTAAAGAAAAACTACATAATTTTAAAATGAATGTGAAAGACTTTGCGCTGAAACGTTACAAATAAACACGAAGAGAAATAAACAATAAAGACGTATGGCCAGAACAGCCATAAATCTTTTGAAGTTTAGGAATCACCAGCTTTTTTTGAACTATCATGCTCTGTATCAAAAACTACATCGTATCTTAGCCCAAATATATACGTATAAAAAATTTTAAAAAAATAAAAAAAAATTGGTATTAGCAGGTTGTTCAAAAAATTCTGAACCCCTAACCCTAAATATTTGCTTTGAAAGAGAGCACAGAATTATTTAAACAATTTAGTAATATTATCCAAATTTAAAAAGAGAAAGTAAAAGTACGTTAACGTTTTGAAAAATGGTTTTGTTTCAAGTTTAGACTTACTGCCGAGAGTAAATGAGAGTCTCAAAGGCGTCCCGGAACCGTTTTCACGTTCCTCATTTGGAGTGCCTGTGGGGCTCGTTTTGTCCCCGAAATGAGTAATATCCCTCGGACATGCACTTCGAATTACACTAGTCGCGCATTTCGCATTTTCAACAACAAAATTTAGAATTAAAATGAAAAATTTTGAAAAAACCAAAAAAAATATAGGCTTATGCAGTAGAACTCCTGTATAACTAAACGATTGGAAATTTGAAATTAGAAAAGATTTTAAATTTGTATGTTAAACAGGGTTTTTGTTAGGTTAAATTGTTTAAATAATACTGTGCCTCCTAACCCCAAAAAACTATTAAAACGTAAAAAAAAGTTTTGTCGTTTTTCAACGTAAAGCGCTACGTTAAAAAGCGACAAGACTTTTTTGGCAATTAGGTATGATAACATAATTTAAAAATATAAATTACAGTGGAACTCCAACAACTTTTGAATTTTCGGCTAACACTAAAAAGTGCATTTAAAACTGCTCTATGACCAACTTCTTTATGACAAACAAAATTCAAACCTTAGAGCAATTCGTTATACAGTAGCTCCACTAGCCTACCCAAAACAAGCAAAAAACCAAAATTTTCAAATTCTCTTAATAAAAGGCTTAAAACCAGTTATTCCAAGACATTATAGCGCGGCTATAATACGGCTGCATAAAGAGGCCAGGTGCGAGACTGACCGCTGGCACTAAATCCGAAATTCGAAATTCAAGGTGAATGCGGATTTTTATGCAAATTTCATATTCCAACTGGGAAATTTAATCCGAATATTACGCTACAACAAATTTCGGAAAAAATTTTGAGTAAATTATAGCTTCAATTTGTTACTACTATTACTCGTCATGAGCAATGTATACAACCTTGTAAAGCTCTGTAGGCTACCCTATTTTTCAAATAGCATAGTTACAGTAAAAACTCCTGTATAAAAAACTCCATTATAACAAAAACGCCGTATAACAAACAATTTTTAAATCCCAGTGTCCCGCTACTTCTGGTTCAACGTAATACTGCGCCTTGTCTGCTCAAGCTGAAATTTCATTTCATAATACTAAACAGTATTTGTCATGCTCATTAAAATTACTATTTTAGACTCTATTTCATAACTCTTACAACTGTTATATTACTCATAAGTGTACCAGTAAGGGGCAGAGTCGGTCTCATTTTTTTCAGCCCTGCCTGTCCCTTTTTCAATTTGCTTGGACACAACCCAGGGCCGCAATAAGACTGAGCCTAGTTAAACTTGTAAATATAAAGGTCAAGCTAATTTTTTCTGGCCTAGCAAATATGTTTCTTTTGTTTGGACCTTGTTGCTTAGACTCACGAGTGCCGGCCTAGCCTGGCGCTTTTCAGAGTTTCTTTGGTCTGACCAATCCCGGTTTAAAGTCTAGCCTAGCGGTCTCCTTTTCAGAACTAAGTGAGCCTTTCAAGCCCACCCATAACTCAAATTATAAAATTCTCATTCTTCCCTTAAAATTTTCGCCTTTCCAAAAATGACCAAAACGTGAAAACGACAGGAAATTGGGGTGCAGATATTGGCTATCTGAAGAGGCTACTCCATGTCGGCAGCCGGCGAAAGGCATGATTTATTTCAATAATAAAGGAATGCGGCACCGAAGAAATGGCCATAAAATGGCTCCGACAAATATGCTTAATGTCAAACATAACACCATGACATATGGCTTTGTTTTACTAATTTTTATCACTATCTAACACTATTTTTTGGGTCGATTCGTCATGTTTTTTAATGTTTTTTGCTGGTTTTGAGCTAGGATGAAGTTTAAATAAGAAGAAAAGTAGACCATTTTAAAAAAATCATTTTAGGCTTAGTTTAAATTTGATATTCTTGAAATTTACCCCCGTAATAACGCATAAACTAAGCTGTATTTGTGCGAAGTGTAACTTTTTTACTTTTAAAAATGGCGCAGTTACAGCTTTGTTAATAACCAGCTATAAAAAGTGCGCCAAAAGTTCTGTTACTAAACTTTACCGATCGTTTTCTCTATGTTGCGGTTAAATTATTTAATTTCAAAATTAAAAATTTAAAAACTAAAAATCTATTTTGAATTCAGTTAAAACTATATTTTGAAATTTAACACAGTTGTACTCAATGGGCTACTCTTCATTACTACCAAACTTAACCCCCTCATCGTTAAAAATAGCAAAGTTATGACCTTTTTGTCAACTAGTTTTACAACAACAATATTAAGTTGTTCAAATAATTGTGAGCCCCGAACCATGAAAATTTGCTTTGAAAAGGGGCACAAAATTATTTAAACAACCTAATATAACAAAATAAAACGCAAAACAACAAAGATTTAAAAAAAGTATTTAACAAATCTGGAGAATATCAAGAATTCTATTCAGAAGTGTAATTAAATACCCAATGATTGATACAATAACAAATGACCCTAAAGAAGACGAATGACTCCCTAATCTTGTCTTGTCTCGGCCAGATGCATTCGTTTTGGCGCTTGCGCAAGAAGTCCGCCTAATTAGTGGCTTTAAAATTCGTGGCCAACTCAATCGAACGTTAAATTTGCATACGCGCATTCGGGACTGGTTTGAAAATTCAGTAGAACTTTTTTATAACGAAGTCCTGTATAAAAAGTCATGTATAACAAACTTTTGTATAACAAATCCGTATAGTGGTCTTCCGATGTAGCGAGCCATACGTAAATGCATCGTATCTTTTCTAAAATATGATATGGTAAAAAATCTAAGCGTTCCTTTTTTTCAAAATTTATATTTTATTTAAATTTTCAAAAAAAATTTTGTTTATCAATATTTAGGCAATCTGACATAAACCAGAAGATGGCTCATTTATTTTTAGACAAACTGATAACAACAAAGAAGCGCGATAAATTAATGAAAAAACCAGAAAAAATCATTAAAAGTTATCGTCTTTTTCATAAAATCAAAAAAAAAAAATAAAAAAATACCCCACCTTCTCAACTTACCACCGACCTAAACCCCTATCTTCCTCTACCATTCTTTCGCGCAAAACCCAAGAAATTTTCATTTTTTGCGCACTCCATTTTGCCGAGTTTTGCGCGATGCAAATTTCGAAATGGCTTGCGGCCGCAAAGCCAAACTCTTGTATCACTGGCCGTAAGAGCACTCTAAAGCCCCGAGGGCAGCGAAATGAGGCGAGCCGAATGCACCGGAAACCGACATTTGCATAAATCCCGCGCGAAAAGATGAACAAGATAAGGAGAACATTACAAATGCATATCATTCACTTACTGCTGCGATTACAAGCTGGCCAGGAGGAGGGTGAGGGTGAAGGAGCTTGAAAGAGAGGGTATGGTAATGGAGAGTAATCTATTCAAAGTATTAGGTTTAGTTTTTCAACTTTGAAGTAAATAAATGATAAAAAATAGCACAGTAAAGTACATACATAATATAAAAAATGTAAGAGTTATGTAACTTCTTCTTGTTTGTACAAATATAGATGAACTACAATAGTAAACTACAAATTTAAATACGTATTTTGAAAAAAACGTACAATGTATTCCAATCACATGATATGGTTATTGAATATAAGGTACAGTACTCTCTCTACACAGTGGTCTCTCTATGTAGTGATCCATCTGTATAAGCAACTCTCCTTATAGTAAGCAAAAAATTTGGTTTATAGAGAGAGTACTGTATAAGCAATCCAAAGGGACTAAGATTTTGTGTTTACTGTAGGAGATGTTGTTTTTACAGAGTGATTTTTAGTGCAAGTCAACTTGGCGGGGCAAAATAGCTTGTTCACTATAAGGTAGGTTGCTTATAGAGATAGTTCACTGTATAAATAAAAAGATCACTTTAGATAAAAAATCAAAGTTTTTTAAAGGCTCATATTTAGACAAAATAATTTTAACTCCTCTCCCCTTCTACTACCCTTCTCTTTCTTTTTCCATACCATACCTCTACAAGAATTTTTTTATCCCCCCCCCCCCCTCCCCCCCCCCTATCTTAAAGAACTAACCATTTCCTTCTCGCGGTTATACCATTCCTTCCTAAATTTTAACGTAAAAATCCCTTGCCCAGTTTAAAAATGCCACAAAAATATGTATTTCTTCTCCAAAATAAGACCTCCAGGCTTGTTGTTGGTCATCTTTGAGGCGGTTTTCGTTTAAATTTACCGCCTAAAATGATTAGCGAAGCCTCTTTTCTGGTCTTTCTTTGCTCGTAATCTGGCCCCCATGGAATGGTTTCTCGCAGATGGCCGCAGTAACTTGTTTAGTCCACGACTCCGGCTACAACAATAGTCGGGGCAAATTAAAAATGGCTTTTAAAATTATACAAGCTGACAAGGAAAGTACCCAACCTGCCTTACACAAAATTAGCTTAAAAGATGCTTGTATCTATTTACTTTATCATAAAAATAAGTTTTATTCATTTATTTCACAATAACGCTAAATACTCAGTAAATCAAGCAAGAATGTTCGTGATGAAACTCATCTCCCCCACTACTGTAGATATGCCGATTTGCACCAAAGTCAGCGTAGTTAAAACGTCGCTTTAACACCGTACACTCTCTGATATCTTCAGAAAACTTAGGTAAACATTTCCGTTGATTCACACATGTATATGGTACTGAACGAAGCTGTTGAATCCGTAAGCAAGCTTCCATTTGGGGTTGGAAATGTTTGTGTTGCGGTAGGGATTTGAAATGCTAGAAAATTTTAAAAACTTGTAAAATACGTGTTTTCCAAAAGATGTTTAATTATAAAATAAAAATGACACAAAGAGCTAGAAATTTTAAAATATTTTTATAAAAAATTATAAATTAAAGTAGGCTTACATTGTAAACTCTAGCACGTTTTTTGACTTTCAACTTGAAATCTTGCATCATTTTGAAATAAAATCCCGTTGGTGGTTGGAAATACAATGGTATTGATATCTAAATTCGTTTAGTCAAAAATTGCTAATCAACATATTTTTACTCCCTCTCTCTTCCCCTTCCTCCTCTTCAAAACAATGATCTTCACTTTGCCTTTGATGCCCCTAACTAAAGCCGGATCATGCCTAGTGGCTCAATTCCTGATCTATCTTTAACTCACTATTATGTACATATACAACTTACATTCCGAAGAGCAGGATTGTAAACAGGAAAGATGTACTTGACAACCCATGACTGGTTTCGATCAAGTGGAACGTGTTGATGTTGATCGTATATCCAATTGTTCATCGGAAAATGATCAAAAGCTTTATTGACTTTTTGTGGTATCACTACTGGTGTTCCAAACCCAATAACTTCTTTAACCAATACGTTTTTCAATGGCAAGGTAACGTCGTAGGAAGAGGGTAGTTGATCTGAAAAAACTTGCTTTACTATAATAATTAATGAATTAAAGGTAAATTACAGTATCTTATAGTACTAAATTACTGTATCTTGTACAATACTATATTGCAGTACTTTATACAGTCTTAAATTACAGTATCTTACCTTGAGGAGCAGCACTAACAGCCCAATTGAATTGAAAAGAACCCGCTTTTGGATATAAGCTAACTAGATGAGAAAACTCGTCATAGTAACTGCTCAACCTCGGAAGTAAAACTTCATTTAAATCAGAAAATATAACGTAATGAGCAGCATCTTTGTATGTATACAAACACTCGTTAGCTGAAAGTAACTTTCCAACGTTTTCAATTTCTTCATTTGGATTGTATGATAGTTGTTTCTATAATAATGTAATGAAAGATGTAAAGTAAATATAAATTCTATGAATGTGCCCTACTTGACCCAAAACCTACCAAAACAGGTAACAATGTTCCTTCAGACAGCTTAAGTTTGCCTTCTTTTTCATATATCTTCAATACTGCGTAGATGTTAGATAGCATAGTAACTACCGGCAAATGTAGATAATCTGCCCCCAAATTCAAATACATTTCAATCACATGAAAAGCCAACTGCCAGTTTTCAAGCAAATGAGCTTGGTTGAAACATACCACTATTTTGTAGGCTTTTGGTGGAGGTGGTATTAGGTTAATCTGAAAGAAGATACAAATTTTTTACCACAATGTCATACCTAGTTTTTTTATTGCATTTTGATTTATTAGCTTTACTGTTGATATTGCTTTTACCACAGTAACTTATTTTAACATTAAAATTGAAATTGAAACTCACATCAACATATTCACCATTGATAGAGCTGTAAAGTTTAACATTGCTACTTCTTTCTTTGAAAACACAATCCAAAAAGTATATTCTCCATTGGCAGTGGTCATTATGGCCAACTGTATTAAATGAAACGTTGATATCTTCATCGTCGTTGCTACAATACAACCAGCTATCATATATATTCTTTTCGCCTATCGCAATAATTCTTACTGTATTTTGGTTTTTTCTGCAAAATTATTTTAGTTATATAATACAGTAAGTCACCGAGCAATTTGTTATACAGAAGTTCCTTTGTACATATATAAACACAAGGCTTAATAGAGAATGCACTAAATATTATTCGGATCTTAAAACAAGACCTATGTAAGATGAAAGAGCATCAAGAGTTACCGATTTACTATACAACAAACTTTTACAACTTTTCATAGACATTACTTACGAATCATTGTAAAAGTATCCATTAGAAACGTATAAATGATAATTTTTAGGTTGATGCTCATTTATCTGATACAACACAAAAATACCGACTATGAATAATATAGTAAACTGTATTTGCTTTTTAGTGGCAAAAAGTTTAAAATTATTTTTGAAAAATAATTGAATTAGCGAAATAAAATACTCTTTCTTTTCCATTATTGTTATTGTCTTGTAAAACAAAAAAAAATTTGTATTGCGTTTTGTTATCACGCTTTCGTATCTTACCGGTTTTTTAAAATTGTTTTTTAATAAAAAATTAATTTTTAATAAAGTTTTATATAAAAATGTTCTTTTTAAAACATTTTTATAAAATATAATTTTTATGGAGTCAGTCAGGACTTTTGGGGCGGGGAACTTTTGGGGCGAGAAAGTTGGGAGCCCGAACATTTGAAGCAGGAAACTTTCGGGACGGGAACCTTCGGGGCCTGAACTTTTGGGGCAATTTTAAAAAATTACAATTTAATCAAATTTCCTTAGGCTAATTAATTCAAGCTTTAAAGTTTTTGTGAAAAATAATGATTTTTAATCAACATTCGAGCTGGGTAATATTATATATGTATTATATTTTTTTATCTAATAAACTAGCAAGGAAAGTACCTAACCTGCAACTCTCAGATTGGCTTAAAATTTTTCTACGGATTCTTTGTAGTACCAGTAGTAGTGTTCTGCGCGGGGGGGGTATACCCCCCGTGGCTAAAAGAACGTACCCGTGACCCCCCCGCGGGTTTTCAGTTGGAAATGCTTTTTTGGTAAAAAATTTTCTAAGTTTTTGACAAATTTTTGGTTGAAAATGACATTTTTGACAAACTTTTTGATTTTCAATCGTCGGCGGAGTGTCGGCGGAGATTCGGCGGCGCTTAAAATTGTCGGCGCAGGGCATAACTCGCTTGAAACATAACGTAAAGACATGAAACAAAAATTATTAGTTTTAGAATTATCAAGACTATCTTGACTGATGCTGAGCTTAAGTTCAATTCGTTAAAAGACAGGAATTTATAAAAGTGTACGTAAATGAATAAGTAAAACTGATTTTTAAGTTTATTATGTAAATTGCACAAATAACGTCAAAAGTTTAACGTATTTTCGTTTAAAAGCAAAAAAATTAAAAACGTGATAAATTTGTTTTGTCATAGTTTTTGAACATACGTACAATTTCCTGGAACATTATAAAAATTTTTGAACTTTATATTTTCTTTAATTTAACTTTTTTTGCATATTTTTATGTTAAAGCTATTGTTAGACCAGCTTAGCATCAGTCAAGATAGCCTTAATAATTCTAAAACTAATAATTTTTGTTTCATGTCTTTACGTTGTGTTTCAAGCGAGTTATGCCCTGCGCCAACAATTTTAAGCGTTCGCCGAATCTCCGCCGACAATTAAAAATTAAAAACTTTGTCAAAAAAAAGCATTTCCAACTGAAAACATGTGTAATTCGGGGGAAAATGACTAGTTTTAAAAAAATCATAGTGCCCTTAGTATGCACTTGAAAAATCTGAAATTTTGGGACAAAAAACCGCATGTGCTAATCTTTGACAATGCCAAGTTTGGCATTTTTAGCATTTTTTTCAACCAAAATATAACGTTTTAGTTTTTTTCGTTTTTCTTGGGACACCCACAGTAAACACAGTAAACATCTAGAAATTTAACACGAAAAGCATTTAAAAATCATAGTATTTTACTATGGATAAGTAGAAAAACATTGGTAAACTTTGAAAAGATTTATTTGTTTATCGATGGTTTTAGTTTTTTTCGTTTTTCTTGGGACACCCTGTATAAACTGTTTTCAAAGTTTATAATTTTCAGTAAAAAACCTTGTTAAAGGTAACAAGCTGCACAAAGTTAAACTTTTTGACTAAAAATACCTTTTTTCCAGAAAAAATAGTAAAAATTGTGGCATTTATGTATATTTTGGCAAAATTATATTCGCACCCGCAGGACACTAACCAGTAGCACATATAAAAAATCTTAGCTTGCGGTTTTAAGTTTTAAAATTAAGATATTTAAATTTTCCGCCAATTTGGCAAATTTGGCATTTATTTATTGCAAGCACTTTTTGATGTTCCAGCTTAGATAGACATACAAATTTAAAATTGCAGGTTTATTTGAAGCTTTTCTATCTTTATATTTAAGAAAAATAGTTAAAAGTCAAAAAATGACAAAGTTAAAAGCTTGAAACACTATGCCAATTTGGCGGGAAATTCAAAACGTGAATTTTTGATCTCGATTTTCTCAAGAGTGGCCGCAAACCTCAACTTAGAATTTTGCATAAATCTTACGTTTACATGACCTTTCAATAAAAAAAATTTGAACGAAATCTGAGCGTTGCAAGTCCGGTACCTTCCTTGTAAGAATCTTGTGTCTAGTGCCATCAGATCTAGTAATGTAAGGTAGTTCTTCAGGGATGTCAAGGTCAGCAAGTGTTCGCGGGTTTGCAAAACCTGAGGTTGACCCGCCCAATTTCTGTCTGATTTTATTGATATTTTGGCCGGAAAATTTTTTTTGTGGCATCTGACATAGTACTTCAACGTCGCTTGTTAATTGTACTGCTTTCCCAATCACATCTCTTGGAGCATCAGGCGACGTTGCAGCACTACGGTAATTCTTGGTTTTGATGAGATCGGCTTTTACTTTTTTAATTTTAGGTGCGCAAAACTGGCTATGATTGTTAATTACTATAACTGTTCTATTAACAACCTTAACCCGTCCTTTACACTCGTTCTTCTTGCTACAAACGTAGGCTGGTCTATCTTTTTCTGAAAGAAAGGATATAATTTTGTACGGTCTAATATCTTGTCGTTCAAATCTAAATATTGAAAAAAAAACATTTAAACTAACTTACCTGTTACATAGATGTGACCACCATATGTCACCTTCATGTTATATTCTATATTTTTGTTTTTCAGGTTGGAAAGAAAGTAAAACGATTCATTAGGATTATTTATTTATTTATTCGGCGTCAAATATAATTAATAAGCAATAGAATAATAAAGTAATAAAAAAACACAAATTGACGAGGTCTCTATTGAGACAGATTCCTATAAAGTTTGCAAGTACGAATTAAAAAGGAGTTTGCTTTAATCTTAGTCCTAGCAAAAGGTAAAATAATTTTACGAGAAGCATCTCGAGTACGAGATGTTTTGAACTTTGGAATTAAAGAGTTGTTTACAATAGTTTTACCGGTATATCCTATAGAAGCGTCAATTTTATCATAATTTACTTTAGAACTGCTGTATACCGAATCGTTCGGATAAGATGCTTCTTAAGACTTCAAGCTAAAATTTTTTTATTTTTTTGATTTTTAGGCTTACGATTGCAAGTCCGGCCTGGCACCTTTCAAAGTTGGCTTGATCTGGCTTCTTATGTGCATTTAATACTTATCTTCACCAAAACTTCTTTGATTTTTAAATCTCAGAGGATTTATTACACTGGATTTCGACAGTATACATTTTTTAACTTTCTTAAACTTTTCCAGCTTGGAACGTTGATTGTTAATCAACTCTGCTGCTAAAACGTAATTAACCCTATGACCTTTAATGCCACACTTGATGGCATTGTTGGCCTCCAAGAGCTCTCCTAACTTTTTTCAACTGCCTTCCGAAAAGGTCTGGAATCAAAGAGCACGTAATGGAATTTGTGTCACATTTGTTTGCAATTCCTCCATCAATGTGGCATATTTTTGGCAGTGACTCATTGGCACGAACTTTCGCCGTCGAACCAATGCCGGATGAATATTTGAGATCCTGGTGGATTGAATAGACGTAATGTGACATGTTTCCGGATAGGTCCGTAGATGTTGGTGTGTAATGTTTTGCAAAATAAAGTTAGTGTTTTTGGAGTTTGATTTTACGTATATAGTAGAACTTCTGTATAACTTGTATGGCAAGCAACTTTTAAATCCTCAGCCAATAACTCCACAGTTCATTTTAAACTTCTTTATAACAAAACTCTTCCGTAAACAATCAAATTTAAAATTTTAGAGCTAGTTGTTATACAGAGTTTTTACTGTAGTAAAAATTAGGCTGGAAGGTAAAGTGACAAGTCATAGGTAAGGCAAAGATAAGGGAAGAGAAAGGCAAAGACATCGCGAGGGTAGGGCAAGGGTAAAACAATAATAAGTCTTAGCAAAATCAGCAGTAGAGAAATCTATATAGCAAGGTTAACGTAAGCGTGGATTAAATAAGATTTTGCTTTAAAACTGACAATAAACAAAAATTTTCAAAGTTAAATTTTTTCCAAAACTTGG